TTGAAATTGTCTTAGCTTTAAAGACATTGTTGTAAAATGGTTATTCTTCTGTCTCTTTAGCTATTCCCCCTCAGGCTTCTTTGCTGTCTGTGCTATTAAATATCCCTATTTCCCAAGTTTCTGTCTCCAGTCCTCTTTTCTTCTATTAGAACTAAATGGAGCCAGGTGTGGTGGTACATGCCTAATCCAAGCACTCCTACTGAGACAGGAGGATCAGGAAGGAGTTCAAGGCCAGCTTGAACTACAATCATATGACCCTGTCTCAAAAAAAATATTTTAAGTTTTTTCTAAATATACATGCAATATTTCTTATGATGGGGGGATTTTTTTCATGTGAGTTTTGTTTTTAATTATCTTAAAACATTTTATGGTCACATAACTTATTCCTCTACTTCAATACTTCTATCCAATGAATTGGCAGAGGGCACCAGTACCAATCACATATGCAATAGTACCAGTTTTTTGTGCTTCTGAATAGCTGGTTAAAAAATAATCCTGAGCTATAACTTAATCTGCTTAATGAATTCAAAAGTAAAGTCTAACTTGCTATTGTACCTATCACACTCATTTTTAAAAGCACCTTAACTTAAAGATCAATTATGAAATGTGTTAAATATTTATTTGATCTTATATGTATAACCACACTATAATGCTTTCAGTAAGTAAAAGGCAGCATTTTAAATACAGGAAATTTTACTTAAATTGGTTAGTAGTCAAGACCGAAAATATAAACATTGTTTCCTTATCTTCAACATTGCCTTTGACTGGCAAATGATCACAAACTGAAACAATTGAGTCTTGCTTGGTTCTGAGACAGTGAAGGGAATTTCCCAGTATTTTAAATATTCTTGCTAGGCGCCGGTGGCTCATGCCTGCAACCCTAGCTACTCAGGAGGCCAAGATCAGGAGGATAATGGTTCGATGCTAGCCTGGGCAAACAGTGCCGTGAGACCCTATTTCAAAAAACCCTTCACAAAATAGGGCTGGTGGAGTGGTTCAAGGTGAAGGCCCTGAGTTCAAGCCCCTGTACTGCAAAAAAAAACAAAACAACAGAAACACAAACACACGTGCGCGCCGCACACACACACACACACACACACAAACCCCATATTCACATAACCAGTTATATAAATCTAAATATAAAACCAGTCCTCACTAGGTTTTGAGATGGCATTCCCCAGCTTTGTGAAAAGTTGAACATTACTAATTAAGTCCAATCTTTAGAAATTAAGTCCATATCTTTAGAAAGGGAAAACAGTAACAACATTTGCTTAACTGGAATTATTTTTTTAAAAAAAGACCACATTCACTTAACTACAAGCCAATTTTACTTAAATCAGGACTGTTCAACAAAAATATTCTGTTAGCCATTCATGATCTGAATTATGGTGTTATGAGATCAATTAAATTATCTTATACATAAAAAAGCCATGAGACATTTCTGTTTTGTAATAAATTAGGCAGTAGCTATTGCTTTTGAGATAAGCTATCAAGTGTGCCCTTTCTTCCTTCTTAATGCCAGTGAAGATCATTTTTGTTCCAGGGATGTACTTTTTGGGATTCTCCAAATACTCCATCAGGGTATCCTCTCCCCAGGAGATGCTTTTGTTCTTGTTGGCATCTGTGTAAGAGAATCCAGAGACCTGAGCTGTCTTGTGCCCAAATAGACCATGGAGATTTGACCCATCTTGTGCTCACCTCCCTTTTCCCCTATATGGCACTAGGCACACTTCTGAACAAAAATCTTCTTGCCTTTCTCAACATCACCCATTTTTAATTTGCTCTTTTATCACTATCACAATGAAGGAACTGTTCAGAAATCAGACACACTGCTCTCTTAATGGGGGGATTTTTATATATTTTTTTATTTTTTTAGAATTGCAGGTATATCTTTTTTTCATTTTTATTAGAATATATTCATTGGACAGGGGAGATTCATTGTGACAATTCCAAATAGCCTTACATTGCACACTGGTTAGATTGCCCCCTCCAGGTCCCCCACCTCAAATCCCCTCCCCAACCACTTAAAGCAATTACAAGAGGTTTCATCATTCTATTTCATATATGTATGTGAAGCCCATCAACCATATTCCCTTACCCTCATCTCCCCCATTTAATGGGGGGATTTTTAATATGTTATATATTGATTTTTATTTTAAAAACAGACTAAAGGTCTGGAGGTATGGCTCAAGTGGTAGAGTGCCTGCATGGCAAGCACAAAGCCCTAAGTTCAAACCCCGGCACTGAAAAATAACAGTGACAACAACAAATATACTAAAATGCTTTTCCTTCAAATGTAATGTTGTTTCATTTTAGATAATCTTTACATACTCCATTTTGAGCTACAATTTATATAACATAAAATTCACCATTTTAAAGTATACAATTCAGTGTTTTTAAATATATTCATTACGCTGTGCAACTATCATCACTACCTAATTCCAGAATGTTTCCATCACCCCAAAAAGAAACCCCACTACCTATTAGCAGTCAGTCCCAATTCCTCCCTCACCATGCTCCAGGGCCAATCACTGATCTACTTTCTGTTTCCATGGATTTGTCTATTTTAGACATTCAATTCATTTTCATTTTTCCTACCTTGGCTTTTCTGTGAGACACACTCTTAGGCACTGACTACCATAAAGGACTTTATAGTTGTCTCCTTACCATTCATTCATCCATTCCCCAGTGGACAGTAAACCTTAAGATTAGGTGTGATTGACTCGTCCTTCAGTTCCAGAGAAAGTCTTAGTGATCTCATCCACCTCACCTCTATGACTGGTTCAGGAGTAAGCATATGACCTAACTTCTTGGTGTAACTAAAGGGTGCTCAGGATGTGTTTGTATGTAGTTTGACTTATATGCAGTTTATTTTCTTCCTTTCTTTTATTTTGTCATTTTTACATTTACTTACATGTGTATATACTGTTTGGGCCACCTCCCCCCCCACCGACTTATATACAGTTAATGCCCAAATTTTAAGTGGACGTCTTGTTGGATTCCTACATCTATATATACATGTGTCACCACCACACATATCAAATTATAGAATATTATAGTACTCCAGATTCCTCAAAGTTCAGAAGCTTTGTTCAATGACTGAGAAAGTCACTATTTCTCTTTCTCCAGATGTGAATAAATAGGTACATAGAGGCCTATGAGCTTCAGTAAGGTCAGCCTAAAGATAACAGGAACACACAGAGTAGAGCAGAGACAAAAGGATTGCAGAGAAACAAACAACAACTCTGAAAAGTATATTTTTATATATTAAAGAGCCAATAGGTGGTGGCGCACACCCATAATCCCAGTTCTTGAGAGACAATGACAGGAGTTCGAGGCCAGCCTGGACTACAATGGCTTAGACTACAACAGGGAGTTCTAGGCCAGCCTCTTTTGCATAGCAAGACCCTCAAAAAACAAACAAACAAACAAACAAGCAAAAAAGAGCCAATAGAGTAAGTTATTTTATTGTTTGAATAGTTTTAATTTTTCTCAACTCGAAATTTTTTTCTTTTTGCAGTACTGGGGTTTGAACTCAGGGATTTGCAATTACTAGACACATGCTGTACCACTTGAGCCACTCCATCAGCCATCAACTTGAAGTTTTTAACCTGGCTTAAAATCTTAACTCTGCCTCCTACTTGGCATGCACCCTTGGGAAAGTTACTTCTTAAGTCTCAATTTTCTGATCCCTAGGTTGGATGTCGGTGGCTCATTCCTGTAATCCCAGCTACTCAGAAGGCAAACATCAGGAAACAGTTTGCAAGATCCTATCTCAAAAATACCCAACACAGGGCTGAGATGTAGCTCGGTGGTACAGTGCTTGCCTAGCATGCGCCGAAGCCCTGGGTTCGATCCCAGCACCAAAAAAGAAAAGACAAAAAAAAAAATACCCAACACAAAAAAGCGTTAGCAGAGTGTTTCAAGTCATAGAGTGCCTACCTAGCAAGCACAATGCCCTGAGTTCAAACCTACTGCCAAAAAAAAAAATTTTTTTTTCTGATCTCTAAAAAGTGGGAGAACAGTATCTTCCATACATGGTCAGTTTATGGAATATATATATATACATAATCCATATGTAGGCAGCATAAATGTATAGCATGTATACATACATACTACATAAAAAATATTTTTGCATATATGAAGCACTCAATAAACGATGATAGAATTTTTAATAAGCACTAAAGATCTAAGTTCCCCTCTAGGTAGTAAGTCAAAAATCAATCATCAGGAGATAATCACCTTTTCAGTGATGTTCTAAAAGTGTTCCTGCTAGGAACACCTAGGGTTGTAGCTAGGAACCTAGGGTTGTAGCTTGCCTACCATGCTATAGAACCAGGATTCAATCCCCAGTACCACAAACAAAAAAGGTGTTTCTACTTTGATGAGAAGTCCTAACACTAAAAAACAACAAAACAAACAAACAAACAAACAAACCGTGAAAAACTTACTGATTTTTTTGCTTTCCTGAACAATAACAAAGAAGTAGAATAAAAAAGAGACTCTCTTTTGGCTCAGATATGTATAAATGATGCCTGAATTGAATTGATCGTAGGATTGAAATAAAGCCAATTGAGATCAGTTTTTTAAAAAAGTTAATGGTACACAAGAGAAGCAATGTTAATAGAGTATGCAATGAAGACAGTACTTCTCAATTAGATACATTAACGTGTCAGAATCTCCTTACAGAGAGGTTTTACAGGCTGCATCAGAAGGGGAGAAAGTGAAATTAGAACTCTTATTAGGAAGTAAAGGTTTCAAGAAGGATCGGGGCTAAAATTATAAAGTCAAAAAGAGTCAGACTTGGACTGGGGCATGCTCAAGTAATAGCACACTTGCTTCACAAGTGCAAGGTCCTTAGTTCAAACCCCTGTACACCAGAGTCAGATTCAGGAGCTGTGGAAAACCAAGGAGCTCAGGCTTCACTGGCATCTGAACTTTTTTGCCTGACCACCCTTTTGGTATCCTCTATGTCTCAGACACATAGTTAACTTACTTACCAGCAGTATTTATTAGCAATATTTATTAGACAGTTACATTTTAAATTCTCTATTTCCAAATATTGCCTTCATTATCTTTTGCTGGGCCCAAAGATATTGAAACCATTCATTGTGGGCTTTACTTGTCTTCAAAGTTCATTAGTGCCTGCACTATAAAGAAATAGAGTATGAGGCCAGAGAGCTAGGCATATTTGGGATATACAAATATTACTTTTCTGGGTTCTAGGTTCCCACACAAATTTTGACTAATCTTTACTTAAATGAAGTCATGAGTCTGTTTCCTCTTTGCCATAAGCAAGTAATCAAGAGTAAAGAGAAACCATCTTTGACTTTCTCCTCCCTTCTACCCTGTTCTCTCCAGAGAACAAGTGGGAAGGCAGGACTAAGAATGACTGGAAAGAGCAGGATTAACTTCAGGCAACATTTTGATGTAAGCAAAGCCTGTCTTTGACATCCTGTTCTAAATTCCATGTTCCAATGTTATAAATTCTCCCTCCTATTGACCTCTTGTGCCCAACATACACACACACATACACACGCAGAAAAGTCCTCTTCCCTAATTTAATTCTTATTTTCATATTGGGTTCATTTTAATGAGATATGAGGAAGAAAACTCAGACATTAACCTATATTAAAATGTTGACGGGGGTGGGGGGAATTGCCTCTAAATCACATTTTTTTTTTTACTTTTAGAGGGAAATTTTATTAATTTGAATTAATCTCCAAGTGGTAAAACTCTACTATATAAATCATATTGAGCATGGCTCAAGTGGTAGAGTGCCTGTGTAGCAAACATGAAGCTCTGAGTTCAAACCCCAGTGCCGCCAAAAACAAAACAAATAGCAGGGAATGGTCTGCCCAAATCAACAGCCCACTTTGTCCTAATTCCAAACAATAAGAATTGGAGAGTAACCTCTAGGGAAACAAGATCTCAGACCTCATAGAATTTGGGCGTCCCCTACTGGAGAAGCAGAGTTTCTAAGTTCTCTCTAAGTTAGAGGAAATTGGGACACATGCCCAGAATGTGACATACCAAACAGAATTTGCTTTTTTTTTTAGGTGGAAAGCAGAATTTGAGAGGCTGAAGTGCAAGAATAGTGAGCATCCTCTTCTTTCTCCCCAGTTACATGTGTTATTCCCATGTACTTGACTTCTTGTCCTCATGACTGCCCTACATACATACCTGCAAAGTCTTGCAACTTCTTGCGCTCCTCTAGGTTATACTGAAGCTGTTCAAGCAACTCAAAATATCGGAAGAGTGAATCTCTGGGCCAAACAACTTGGTCATCCTGATCCATATCCATTAGCCCATGCAGATTTTCGTGCACAAGAGTCTCCCAGTCCACCTGATCTGTAGGGAGGAATGCTTCTTAAAAACACATCTAGGGGCTGGTGGAGTGGCTCAAGTGGTAGAGCACCTGTCTAGCAAACGTGAAGCCCTGAACCCTGGTACCACAAAAAAATGTCTAGATTTGTGCAAGTTCAAAAAGTGTTATGGAAATTAGAAATAAGGGCAAAATAGTTTCTGCTGGGTATTGAGGGGGTGGGGGGGACAGGGAGGGGGTGGAGTGGGTGGTAAGGGAGGGGGTGGGGGCAGGGGGGAGAAATGACCCAAGCGTTGTATGCACATATGAATAAAAAAAAAAAAAGAGCACACACACACACACACAAAAAAAAAAGTGTTGTGGATTAAAAAAGGCAGAGGAAAGGGGACGCATGGAGAGAAATGCTCCGTCACCAAAAGAACATGTTTTATAGAGAGCAAAGAGAGAAATGACCACACTTATCAAAAGTGAAGCAGAAGTACAGGGAGATAAGCCAAGCTCAAAAAGACAAATATCACATGTTCTTGCTCATTTGCGGAGCGTAGACATAGAATGATGATGGTGATGGGACATGGATGCAAAAGGGGGACTGCATGCGGGGGTCAAGGGAAGAGGGGAGGAAGGGTACTGAGGGATGAAGAGGATCAGAGCCTGCTGGGTGTGCGTGTGTTTGAAAAGGGGAGGGAGAGGAAAGAATGAGAATATAGTGATACAATGAAGGCGTGAACTTGTCCATGTGCATGTATGGAACTGTCGCATTAAATCCCTTCATATTATTAACATATGCTAATTTTAAAATAAAGTAAAGTTTAAAAAGAAAGGACAGGTGAGAGTGAAGCTACCAATATACAACATAAGCATATTCAGAAATGTCACAATGAATCCCCCCCTTGTACAACAAATGTATGTTAATAACAATGCTTTGAGAAAAAAAAACACAAAAAAAGTAATGAAGAATAGAAAATCAGACTGGTATAGAAAATTGGAAACAGATTTAGTGGATAAAGGATGTCTTGTGCATGCCTGTAATCCCAGCACTTGAGAGAGTAAGACAAGAGGAGCTCAAGTTTAAGGCCAGCCTGGGCAACATTGTAAGATCCTGCTTCAAAAGAGCCACCAAAACAAACAAATAAAAAAAAGATTGAGATGTCTTATAGAGGAGTCTAAATTCAAAGGAAAGAAACCCTTCTGCTCACCATTATCAATCACTTCAGGTTTTGAAGAGGAGGGACTGAAGGAAGATGCAGAGGAGCTAGAGGGGGAAGATGGGGACTTTTTTGCTTTTGATGGGGATTCTTTTGTTTTTGATGAAGATTCTCCCACTTCCTCTTCAGCAGCAGTTTTAGACTCTTGTTCAGAAAGTTCTGATAAGTCCTCTGATACCTTTTGTTCACTACCTTTTCTGTATGTGAAAGGAGAAATTTTATTGCTTTAAATACATTTATAAACCTGGTGCTGGTGGCTCACGGTTATAATCCTAGCTACTCAGGAAGCAGAGATCAGGAGAACCACAGTTCAAAGCCAGCCTGGGCAAACAGTTTGGGAGACCCTATCTCAAAAACACCCATCACAAAAAAGGGCTGGTGGAGTGGCTCAAGGTGTAGGCCCTGAGTTCAAGCCCCAGTATTGCAAAAAAGAATACATTTATGAGCTATGACTAGTTCATTTTTTATGTTAGTCCTGGCTCTGGCAATCCCCTAAAGCTTGGATTAAATGCTATGACGGACATACTATTCTTAGCCTCTAAGGTCAGGCACTCCCTATCTCAGTCATCCCCAATGTATCATTCTTTCTTTTCTTCTAGACAAGGTTTCCCTATGTAGCCCAGGCTGGCCTCTAATCTATGATCTTCCTGCCTCAGCATTCAGAATGTAGGGATTACACACATGTACCACCATTCCTGGCTCTAGCATGTCATTCTTAATGTTTTTCTTCCTTCCCACATCCAGTCCATCAAGAAATCCTGTTGGCTCTACCTTCAAATGTATCTTTTCTTGGGGCTGGCACAGTGGCTCAAGTGGTAGAGCACCTGCCTAGGAAGCATTGGGCTGAGTTCAACCCCCAGTAACATAAACATTATATATATATTATATTTATTTATTTATTTATTTATTCATACACACACACACAATCTTTTCTTAGTAACTCAGTGGCATGACCCTGGTTTGAGCCAACATCATCTCTTGCTTAGATAGCAGCACTGCCTCCTAACTAATCTCTCTGCTCCGTCCCTTGTTCTTCAATAGTCTGTCATCAACACAGTAGCCAGAGTAAGCCTTTTAAATGTCATTTCATGTCATTCCCCTCTGCTTCCCATTCCCTTGAGTAAAAGCCTGAATCCCAAAAATGACCTCCTATAGCCCTATAGACTTGGGCCCCCACACATTCTCTCTCTGAACTCATCTCCTGTCACTCTTCCCCCTGCTTATTCTGCTGTAGTCACAATAGCCTCCTGACTGTTTCTCAAACATATTAGGGCTAGAGGCATGGTTCAAGTGGTGGAGTGCTTCATAACAAGTAAAAGGCTCTGAGTTCAAATCCAAGTACTGTCAAACACATTAGGCATGCTTCCAGTTTAGAGTGTCTCTGACACTCTTCCTGTAGATATCCACATGGAAATCTCATCAACTCCTTCAAGTCTTTGCTCACATATTACATTTTTAATGAGGACAACCCAAATGCCCTGTTTAAAATTATAACCTATTGCCAGGCTCATGCCTGTAATTCCAACACTCAGAAGGCAGAAGCAGGAGGATCACAAGTTCAAAGCCAGCCAGTCATCTACATGGGACTATAGAGAGATCGACCCTGCCTCAAAAACAAAAACAAAGACAAAAAAAAGTCTATAACCCATATGAAATTCCCACGTTTTACTCCTGATCCTGCTAAACCTAGTCTAATTTTAATTTTTTATGTTTACCATATCTTTTTTTTATTGTTTTATTATTCGTATGTGCATACAAGGCTTGGGTCATTTCTCCCCCTGCCCCTACCCCCTCCCTTACCATCCACTCTGCCCCCTCCCTCTCCCCTCCACCCCCTCAATACCCAGCAGAAACTATTTTGCCCTTATCTCTAATTTTGTTGAAGAGAGAGTATAAGCAAGTGTTCTTGCTGGTTGAAATAAGGATAGCTATACAGGGAGTATCTTGATATATTATATACATGTTCATTGCTTAATGTCTCTTAAACTTGACTATTATGTAAGCTCCATGAGAGCAGAGAGTATTGGGGTTTTTTGTTCACAAATATATTCAAGCACCTATTAAGTATTCAATAATTATGGTTCTTTTTCCATTCTCCTATTTATTGCTAAACATTTAGGCATTTTGTTGAAATATGTGCATTAGTTTCTTGTGGCTGCCACAGCTAATTACTACAAATTTGGTGGTTTAAAGCAACAGAATCAGGGGATTAGAGAGGGGGTGGGGAAAGAGGGGAGAAATGACCCAAACATTGTATGCACATATGAATAAAATAAATAAATAAATGAATAAAATAAAACAACAGAAATAGGACTGGCAGAGTGGCTCAAATAGTAGAGCACTTGCCTAGCAAGCATGAAGTCCTGAGTCCTGAGTACAAATTCCAGGATAGCCAAAAAAAAAAAAAAAAACAACCCAGAAATAGGGCTGGAGATGTGAAAGCATTTGCTTAGTATGTGCAAGTTCCTGAGTTCAATTTCCAGTATGGAAAACAAAAACAAACAATCAAAATCTACTCTCTCACAGTTATGGAGGTCAGAAGTCTGAAATCAAAGGGGTTGGCAGGGCCTTACTACCTCTAGAGGCTTTAGTAGAGAAGGTTCCTTGACTCTTGCACCTCTGGTAGCTGCCTGGCATTCTTCAAGTACCTTGGCTTGTGGCTGCATCATTCTAATATCTATCTCCATCTCTGTATCACCTTCTATACCAGGTATGGTGTAGACTACCATAATTCTAGCATTCAGGAAGGAGGCTGAGGCAGGAGGCTGAGTTCAAGGTCACCCTAGGTTACATGGTGAAACACTTTCTCAAAAAAAAAACAGTACTTCTATTCTCTGTGCTGTTACTTCTCCTCAGTCTATTTAAAGGATCTTTGTCATTCTTATTTCATTACTGAATTTAGGGCCTCCCTGGATAAGCCAGGATGATCTCAAGATCTTTAACTTAATGATATCTGCAAAGACCCTTTTCCCAACTAAGGTCACATTCACAGGTTCTAGAGAGTTAGAACATGGACATACAATTTGTGAGCCACCACTGAACCAATTACAATGAACAGATTATCTCTAAAGTCAGTCTTTGAAGATTTCTACCCTTTCCTCCTTCATGGGTTTCCATCCTAGTTCACATGCGCCCTACTAACCTGTCATCCATTTTGCTATGGCTTGATCTCGCTGCTCCAGGGGACAGGTTTTTTCTCCTGCAAAACAAAAACAAACAAAAACTGAAAGGAACAATGAAAATAGTGAAGAAAACTATCCTTAAATAGAAGTGTAATAAAGAAAAAGAAAAGAATTCAGATCAGTAAGTGATCAGTAAGTGAAGAAAAAGTGAATGGAAAAACAAATGGAAGTGAAGGAGTGTAAAAGAGTAGAACCCCACATCAGATGAAGAATTGGGTAACATACTAGAGTAGAAGAATTCTTAACCTTGGGAAAAAGTGAAGTCACAAAGCCAAGAGTAGAAATAGGGACTATAAGGTCAGAAAACCCTTGAGAAATAATGTTGGGTTTGAATAAAGAGAAGCAGACCTCTGGATAATTTGCCTCTTGAATATGTCAGCTTTGTACTGAACCTCCAGATGTGTCATCTCCTCAGTCAGCTCATTCCTGATATTCTGGAAGTTAGTAACTGCCCCAAAGGGCCATTAGGAGTTGGGAGATGGTGGTGACTAGACCTGGGGAGAGGGCTTGGGTAGGGAAAAACCCAGTGAAATATCTGTCCCAGAACCCAAGCCTTCTGCTACTCTGGGTTCTCTACCAACAACCCACCAATTGCAGCTGTCAGACAAATTTCTTCCCAACCATCCCTCCTGCCAAGTTGCACCTCCTCTGTGCTTACCCATCATAGCTACTATGATATTTCTAAATATAATGGAGCCAAGCAACAGCCAAAGGATGATATAGATGCTACTGACGATACGGCTGGCTTCAGGCACCTTCCAGATATCCTGAAGCACTGCATACCAATGATCCAAGGTGAAGAGAATAAACACAGTCACTAAGGAATTCAGCAAGTCCCTAAAGAAAAGTGTGAACAGATACAAGCAGAGATGGAAATCTCTTAGAAACTGTATCATTTTTAAAGCAACATAAGAGCATTTCTTTGTAGGTGCTCTAACTTAGGTTTCTTTTTTTACCATATTTGATTTTTTTTAACCTAATCATTCTTCAGGTGGAAGTTGTTTTAAAGTTTTCTTTTATCATGAATAACCTATGAACTTAACACTATTCCATTAGTCCTGGGGCATAGTAAGTACTCCACAAACACATATTGACTGAATTTTTAAAAGATGAAAACCTCACCAGCTAGATATTTTTTCTAAGTTCATTCTTACTGCTTTATGGACTTTGTGTAATAGAAGGTCATTCACAAATTTAGCAAACATCATTCCTATCTAACTTGCTGAAATGAACTGAAGGGCAAACAAATAGATGGATATGTGGCATAAACATATGTGATCCCCAATAATCAATGATAATGAATACATATAAACAATATAAAATTAATACAACTAATTATAAATTAATTATTTTGAGGCTGAGGGGGTGTAGCCCCATGGTAGGGCACTTGCCTAGCATGCATAAGGCCCTAGGTTTGGTCCTCAGCACAAAAAATATTTAGATGCCTTCAGAGTCCTCTTGTCCATAAAATAATCTAAATTGTTCTCCTTTCCTTCTTAGTCCACCAGATACTTTTTTTTATTGAAAACATCAGGGAGGCCAGCCTGTGCTACATAGGAGACCCTGTCTCAAAAAAAAAAAAAAGAAAGAAAAACAGAAAAAGGAAAAAGGCCAAGTATGGTGGCTCATGCCTGCAATCCCAGCTACTCAAAAGACAGAGATTGGGAGTATTACAATTTAAGGCTAGCCCAGAGAAAAAGTTATCAAGACCCCCATCTCAACCAATATCTGAGCATGTGGCACACACTTATTACCTCAGCTACACAAGAAGCATAAATAGGAGGATTACAGTCTGGTCTAACCTGAGGAAAAGTGCGAGACCCTGTGCCCAAAATAAGCAAAGCAAAAAGTGATGGGAATGTGGCAAGGCACTTGCCAAGAAAGTATGAGGCCCTGAGTTCAACCAACAGTACCATACACAAAAAAAAAAAAAAGAAAAGAAAAAATGTCAGAACATGAACAGGATGAATGCTAGGACTTTCTTAATGCAATACTTATATAAAACCACCTGTTAAGAGCCTAAGAGGAGTCTTTACTGCTATTTCCCTCATGGAGAGGAGGAAATGTTTTCCCTCCCCCCATTTTCCCTACTCTCATCCTGTTATACTAAATTCCTTTTCCAATAAACCTTGCTATCATTTTTACCATTAAAAGAAAAAGTCTAAGAAAGCTGGATGAAGTGGTTCATACCTGTAATCTCAGCACTAAAGAGGTTTAGGCAGCAGGACCTTAAGTTCAAGGCTAACCAGGCTATATGGCAAGACACTGTCTCAAAATACAGGAAGAAAAAAAAAAAGTGTCTAAGAAAGACCTGAGAGGTACTAAGAAGACTGGATTCCAGCTGGGTGTGATAGTGCACCTCTGTAATCCCAACACTTGCTTAGAAGGCTGAGACAGGAGGACGGTGAGTTCAAGGCCAACCTTGGGTACCTAGCAAGACCCTGTCTCAACAAAACAAAACAATAAATTCAAGTTTACTTTCTTCTAGGAAGGAATGTTTTCTAGACCAAGTTCTTATCAGGGTCAAATCAGTGACCATGTTTGAGAGTTATACTAACACTGATCATAAATACTGTGTTAAATACTGTGCTAACTGCTTAAATGCTTTACCTTATTTATCCCCACACTTTTCTATGGTAACACTGCTATTCTTCCCATTTTTTTAAACAGGTAACTGAGTCATAGAAACCAGAGCTTAACTATTGAAGCATACTATATTTAAAAATGGTTGATGAGAAATTGTTTGAATTTGTAAAACCCAGAATAAATGCAGAACTAGCTGTTTCTACCCTCAAAATCAGAGTTAACACTATTCCTTTGCTTTCTTTTCCCCTCTCCTTTTTGTGTTCTAGTCCAGTGTTTTACAATGAGCCATACTTTTTGTATTATTGTACTTCCCAGTAAAGTATCTAAGCCAAATTCTCTCCCCTCACCCAGGCTTCCCCCAGCCCTGCCTACGAGAAGAACATGTTGTACTCCAAGTCCTCACGAGTTGAGCGGCTGTATTCTTCAAAGAAGTAGACGCCAGTCACAGCAAAAATGTAGAAGAAGATGAGCACCAACATCAAGAGGAAGGTCATGCTCTGGAGATCATGACAAGTCAGAGGTGGTGATCTCCATTAATAGCCCAGTCAAACCCACCTGGCTATCCCCCACCAAACCCTGACTTCTACTGGGAGCCAGGTATCTCTAAACCACAGCAGTTTATTCCCAATGCTTTCTCACCCAATTACATTTCATGGGACCTTTCATGGCCTTCTCTGACCCTCCCAGACTTGTTTCATGTTAAATGTTACATACCTATCACTTTGCCCCTTTACTTAGGCTGCAACAGTCAAATTACCTTAAGAGCCCTGACTAGGGCCAAAATAATCACTCGAATTTGACGGAATCGTGCAAAGAGTTGGAGAGATCTCAGCACCCGGCAGATCCTAAGCAGCTGGAGCCATACAGACTGGCCTGAGACCCCTAGCAATGTCATAACTTCAGGAAGTAAGGACTGTAGGAAAAAACACTGATTATGAGTACTTATACCCAAAAGCACATTTGCCCCTTCATCCCATCTTCTCCACAGTTCCCTGGGCACTATCCCCTGATAGCCTTCTCTGGAGATTGTTCCCTATTCAGCCTTTTTATACTAAATTACTCAAAACTCTGTACTTCAACTTGTTTAGATATAAAAAGGCGATAAAACTAGTGTTGTGGAGCACAAATGAGATAAGACATGTAAAATAACTTTAAATAGTGCTGGCACTTAGGAAGTACTGAGTAACTGGAAGATGTTATTGCTGGGACTGGTATGGTTATAGCCTACCTTACTCCTAATACCAACAATTCCTGAGATTACTGACTTTTAGTTTTAGGGGGAAAAATTTTTTTTAAATTAAGTCAATTTCTGTGTTTCTTTCTATTGGCTTGCTATTTACCTAGGCACATTGCTCATCCCACTAACTAATCCTTAGGATATCTATTCTTACCAACATGGTAATAACAAAGTCAAAGACATTCCATGCATTCCTCCAGAAGAGGACAAAGCTGGACAGCCACATAAGAAGGATCTCCAAGATGAACATAAACAAAATGAACCAAGCTGACACCTCCAAAGTCAGCTTCAATGGCCACAGTTTGATATTTGCAGATTCCAGCAATTCTGTGAGGACAGAGCAAAGAAGGAATAAAAAATTAAGGAAGTGGGAAGCTAAATGAAGGAGAATGATCACTTATAAGCCAGTTGTGCCCACTACTATTCCATTTTTCTTTGAGTTTCTCTTCTTAACACTGTTGTGTCAACCTGAAAAATATAGGGAAAGACAGAACTAATCATGAAAAACAGCCCCTACTCATCTCCTGTTGATTCTGGTATGTCTAACAGATGCAAGTCACTATTCATTCTGGGGTCACACAGCCACCAGGTGACTTCCTTCTTCACCATCCCCCACTCCCACCTGCTGTACTGTTAAATTAGTCCCAAAGTTCACAAGAAAGCAATGGGTCTTGAGGACAGAATGAAAATGTAGGGTTATTATATGTTAGGTACTTTATAAGAGAGGTGGAAACAAGAAACCAGATTCATTCATATTAAGTTATAATATGAAATCACTTGGTCCTTTGTTACCTTTCTTTCCCCTTCTCTGCTGACAAAAATTGATACTGTTCTGAAAAGGAAATTGAATTCTATACCCTCTCTCTAGAACCCTACTATCATTTGTTATTTGTTATTTCTTAACTCATTGCCTTTATCTTTCAACCCTCTTCATCACTTTTATACATTAATGTATGACATGTCCTAGAAAAAAATTGAGATCAAAATAGACCTAAAAGCTAAATAAGAAATAGTGCATAGCATTGGTGCTATGACTTTACACTTGTCCTGATCATGGACTGGATCAGGACAAAAAGAATATACTTGTACATTCAACTCCCTAGGATTCCTAAATTGGCCACTCCTTAAAATCAATGGGGTCACATACAGTTTTAGGCTATGCACTTTTTCTGCAAGTTTTTCTTCTATATAAAATATTTCTCAATGGGTGCTGGTGGCTCATGGCTGTAATCCTAGCTACTCAGGTGGCAGAGATCAGGAGGATCATGGTTCAAAGCCAACGCTGAGCAAATAGACCGTATCTCAAAAATACCCAACACAAAAAAGGCTGGAAGAGTAGCTCAAGCAGTAGAGTGGCTGCCTAGCAAGCATGAGGCCCTGAGTTCAAACTCCAGCGCCACCAAAAAAAATTCTAATATGCACAATTTTCACTTTGAACATCTCTGAAACTATTCAAAGATGCATCTTACAATGATGTGTTCCAGGACTAATTTCATTTCTTAATGGTAAACAGTGCATTTCACATTGATGACATCACAAAGTTAAATTTCAATCTTTTCTTATGTGTGTGTGTGGTTCTGGGGATCAAACCCAGGGCCTCTCACCTGATAGGCAAGCATTCTATCACTGAGCCACATCCCCATCCTCATATGATCGTTAATATAACAGTAAACATTAAAATTTGATATTTAATAATATGCAAGTCTAAGACACTGTTACTTCAATTGCTTTTTTACATCACATACAAACAGTGAAATGACCAGGCACTCAAGAGGCTGGGGAAGGAGGATCATGAGTTTGAGGCCAGCCTGAGTTAATAGCAAGAACCTGTCTCAAAAATGAACAAAAATGACAAAAAATTAAGTGGGAAATTTCCCCAAAATAGTGAAAAGTGAAACAAGTATTTGTACTGTTTTCATCATTCTGAGCAGTTTGACTTTTATTTTGAGACAAGGTCTTGTTATGTAGCCCAGGTTGGTTTGAATTCTCGATCCTCATGCCTCAGCCTCATGATTGCTAGGATTACAGGTATTTGCCACTACCCCAAGCCTGAGAAGTTTGTTTTAGATGACAAATGAGCTCACTGATTATCTAGATGTCCCTCAGTTTTAATACATTTCATATTATTTATGATGGTTTTACAGTCATTTACTCTAAGTAAGTTTTTGACTCACCTATCATAATCATCCCTTAACTTTACATACTTGGTGAGCTTTCTTTTTCATGCTAAATAATTTTTCTAAATATAATTGTTTAATGTAAATGTTAGCTCTTTCACTGACAGGCACCAATATCTTTAATAGAAAAGGTTTAAATATTAGGCTAAATTGACTAGGTATAACTGATCTTCTCATCTCTCCTTTCTTGTTACATTGGTACATATTACACCTTACCTCTAAATGTATAGACTACCTGTATCTCCTATGCAGTACTCCCAGAGCCCTCCAAATGTGTCTACAACTTAACACAAACCCTACACCAGAGGGTGTAGGGTTTTCCCATCATAATTCAAATGATATTAAAAAATGCAAAATGATCAGTATTTCCAACCCACTTCCTCTTTCATTTGACGTCAGTTCTTACCTATTTCAACCATCAGGACAACTGTATTCAAAAAGATGAGGAAGATGATGAAATATGAGAAGCAAGCAGCTATTTTCTCTTAAGGAAACATACAGAGTAGAGTTCTTTCTGATTTATGCAGCTGAGATAATGACAAGAACATAAACTGTGACAATTTGAAGACAATGAAGTTAGGAAGGAAAACAGAAGTCAGTAAGCAGATGATGAACAGCCACGGATAAAACTGAGTGACACGAAAGGATACATTCAAGAACCCATCCAGCCCACAAGGACAGAGGAGGCCTCTGACTGCAACGCACTTGAAGCCTGCTCAACATTCGCTGTGCATGTGAGATCCGCCCTACACGTCGGGGCTTTATGGAGAAGCGTACTAGCTGGTGTTGATCTCCCAACATAACTTTCTTCTGACGGGAAGGATCTATAACAAAAATGAAAAGTCTCAGCTACTCAGATAGAGGGACCACAGTTCCAGGGCATCCTGGGCAAAGTTAGCTCTAGACTCAATCTGAAAAATAAACTAAAAGCCAAAGGACTGGGGGCATGGTTCAAGTGGTAGAGTGCTTGCTAGCAAGGCCCTGAGTTCAATCCCCAGTTCCTCCAAAAAAAGCGTTGGGGGACTACCAAAAGCAGGTAGAGTTGGGGGGCAGGGATACTGGTGAGATAATGGGCCCCCTGGTACAAAGGCTTGCCTTGCACCGGCTCTTTCTCACAGCAACTAAGAATACTGTTAGTTTGGAGTGAGAATTAATGTATCATTTACAACCAACACTGACCATGCCCATGAATAAAAATTTTAAGACTCTGGTGGAAACTTTTTCAACTCAGATAAAGCCTGTAGCTATCCTGGGTCTAAAAAAGAAGTGACATGGGTTCTATCTCCTCAATTCAAAGAGTTTTATTTATTAAGCTCTGGATTTATCAAGTTTGTGTAGCCTCCCAACCCAGCAACTGAACCAACCTTACTGAATTTTCCACCCTTAAATTTGTCTCTCTGCTTCCTACTCTTTGGAGGTAGTAGATGTAGTTAAGTGTAACTAGTGTAGTTAAGAAACAAGCTGCTGACCAAGTATGTCCCGGAGAGTGTGCCGCGGCACTGCTTGGCTCAAGCCTTGCAAATGCTCGATGAGAGAGAAAGTATCAATGAGACGGGAACGAATGGCATCCGCTCTGGGCAGTACCATGTGACTTTGTTCTGCAGAAGTAGCCATGTCTGTTAAGAAAATAATAAAAAAAAAAAAAAATCAAGGGTCATTTCATTCTTAGAACTGCACCAGGATTAGAAGGACTTTTTTGCCTCACTCTTCCCCTATCCTCTTTGCCTTTAAAAGACATCAAGAAGCCCGTATCTAGGATCTATGAGCAGTTGAGCATAAACACAATGAAACTTCAAGGCTTGTGTGTGTGTGTGTGTGTGTGTGTTTTAAACAAAAGATGACAGTAGTTATAAGAGAGTTATTGCTCAGCCGATCGAGTGAGCAGGCACTTTCTGACAGCATTTTTAATTAAAAACTCATTTTAAAAAAATTCAGTAACTGGGCACCGGTGGATCACGCCTGCAATCCTAGCTACACAAGAGGCACAGGTCAGGAGAATCGTGGTTGAAGCCTGCCTGGGCAAATAGTTCTGCAAGACCCTATCTCGAAAGAAAAAAACCAAACAAACCCATCACAAAAAAGGGCTGGCGAAATGACTCAAGTGGTAGAGCACTTGACGAGCAAGCATGAGGCCCTGAGTTCAAAATGTACCGCCAAAAAAAAGATATCAGTAAAGAAGCAACAGCCACCAGGGTAGGAGCCCCAAAGCTGGACAAAGAAGAATCCAGGCCCCATCCCAGACTGAGGGAATCAGGCAATGAGCTGGGGCGGTGATGGGGCGTAGGTGGCTACCCCCGAAAAAAAAAATTACTAAAAAGACATTGGACAAAATACAACAACCAGCCTGCCATTTTGAAAATGAGTCTGTCCCAAGTGCGTCCACTCCAACGCTCCCTCAGGGACCTTCTCTTCCATTCCGCTTCTGGGCCTCACCTCGGCCCGAACTCTCTTCCGCCACTCAGTCCTGACTTCAGTCCTCTGTCTCCAGTTCCGGAGCTCTCTGATCTCCGCTCCTCCCTACTCAGGACAAACTCCCGGCCTAGCTGTACCCCACTTCCCACCGCCCCTCGAGCTCCGGCTACCCTGGGCCCAGCACCCCCACAGCTGCCTCCCACCCGGGCCCGGCCCAGCAGCGCCCTGCGCCCTGCTCGCCTCCTCGGCCCCGCCCCCGCGCGCCCACCATTCGGCTGTTACCAGATGGTCCCGCCCACCCTACGTAGGCGCGGCGCAGCCAATCAGCGGCTGCCACACTGCGGCCCAAGCCGGGCCCAGGGGGTTGGGACCTCCGGTTGCAGGTCCGCCTGGGCCAGACGCGCGAGTGCAGGTAGCGGGTGCGTGGTCGCCGGCCCGACCTCTGCAGACCCCTCCCCACCCCCGCCGAGTCCCGACCCTCCGGCCGTTCCCCCCTCACCTAGCCACCATGCGCCTCCACCGCCTAGTGTTCCCGGTCGTTACGCTGCTTCTCGCCGCGGTCCGCCTCGCCGCTGCCTCCGACGTGCTGGAACTCACGGACGACAACTTCGAGAGTCGCATCTCCGACACGGGCTCTGCGGGCCTCATGCTTGTCGAGTTCTTCGCCCCTTGGTGAGGCCACCCTGCCAGGGTGGGGAAGGGGGGGAGACCGGGCCGGGGGCCGGGCGCGAGAACGGTTGGGCCTACGCTGCGCCGGCGCCCTACACTATTCCGGTGGGCCCCGGCTAGTTTTCCCATCCCTGGGGAGCTGGAGGTGCAGATTCCGGAGCCTGGAAGCGGAGAAGTCAGTGCTGACCGCCTGGGGGCGAGACCCTGGAAGGAAACCTAAAGGCTCTTCTCTTGCAGGGTCACATCCTTAGCTCCGCGCTCCTGCGGCACTTCCTATTTGCAGAGGGTTTAACCATCCCCTCCCCCCTTGGTGTGTCTCTTCAGTCTCTAGGTGAGTCGGTAGAAGCGCAGATGAGGCATCCCAAAGCCTCATGGCGGAAGCGAATGTGTCACCAAGTGTGGAGGTCCTGGATTGCCAGGACCCTTCCTTTCTTCTTGCCCCCACCCCCACCCCACAGCCATTGGTTTCTAGCCAAGGTCACTCAGTGGCTACAGAATAGTCATAAAGTGCTTTCCTGAGGCAGGCCGTTGTTTTTCTCGTGGCCATGGTGTACACTGTCTACATTAAGCTACAGAGGCCTCTACACCAAAAGCAAAGGGTAGGTGAAAGAGAATAATTCCATCAAAATCTGGATGTCAGATTTACTTAGGGTTTCTGGAAAATGACCAATAAAAGACTCCCCATGAGAAAGTGACCAGTGTTGGAGAAATACTCCACTTCAGGTTAACTTAACCCAACCAAAGTGTAAGTTTCTGAGGGCGGAACTAACCCAGACTATCTGTATTCAAAAGTACCAGAAGAATAGAGCTAGTCTGTAAGTTTTACCTGCTTCTAACTCAGGTCTTCTCTCCTCAAGCTCATCTGACTTGTTGAGGGTCACACCCAACAGTCCTATGGTCAGGACCACTTGAATCACAAGGATGTGCTAGAGGCAGCGAATTATTTTCAGCTACTGTTCAGATTTTGTGTCCAGGGCATTCCTGTGAACAACTGGCAGTACTGCTTACACATTATAGATGGTCTTTATATAATCATGCTGGTAACTTTGAGAGAGCGCCATTGAGTGGTGCTTTTTTGACTAAAGGGGTCTTACAATTTAAAGTAGGAATTGCTGGAAAAATGTGAGCTGTTAGGCTTATTAGTTTGAAGCAGAATTTTTAAAAAATTTCAATTAAGGTTTAGGGATGTGATTCAATGGTAAAGGGCTTGCACAAGGAGCTGGGTTTGATTCCCCCAGTACTGCCAAAAAAAAAAAAATCAAAGGCACTTTAATACTTTTTTGTGTGTTTTCTTGTTTAGTCTCTCTATTTTGAGAAAGAGCTCCTTATATAGTCCAGGCTGACCTCATACCACCAGGCTTGCACCACCATGTCCAGCTGTTTTTTTCTACTTTAAATTGTTACATGCCTTTCCTTTAGTACTACATATCCCATCATGCATTAAGCTGTCCCAGCAATTGGGGTGGATTTCTGCTGTGGTGTCTGCTTTTAATTGGTTTAGAAGATAAGGTCATCCTCCACAATGCCAGCAAGAAAGATCAGTTTTCTGAATGAGCAATTTGAAGTTAAGGAAGTTTCCTGTTAGTGATATCATCTGTGTTAGCTGGAAATGTTTTCTGACTGCTGTGTTCCTATGCACAGATTAGGACAGTTCCTATGCTGTTAGGACAGTTAGAGACTTTTTTTTTTTTTTTTTTTTTGATAGTACTGGGGTTTGAATTCAGGGCCTCAGGCTTGCTAGGCTGGCACTCTGCCAGTCCTAAAGATTCCTTATTAAGAGTAGAATCAACTTATATTGTGCAAATTCTTTTTCTCATTTTAGATTTTTTTCATTTTCATTTATATAAATGAAAGTGAAAGATTTCTTTGCAGGTGACTTTGTAGACTACTTTGCTCATTATGAAGTAAATCATATATTTGTAAGGATAGTATCTTGATTTCTCTAGGGGAAATAAATAGCAGTATTTCATTGTAATGATTTCTGAAAATTTATTAATCAGTGTTAACTTTAAGTCCTCTTTGTTTTGTAGAAAGGTCTCCCTATATATAGTCCAGCATTGGCCTCAAACTTGAGATCCTAAGGCTTGCACCACCATGTCCAGTTGGTCTTTTCTACTTTAAATTGTTGGGTGTGCATGTCCAGTGCTAGCCTCTAGAACAGTGGTAATGAACAGTATTTGATATGTGATGTTTCTAGAGTATTGCAAAACACTACGTGAAGCCAGGCACTTGGAAGGCTGATAGAGGCAGGCAGATCATGAGTTGAAGGCTAGCCTGGGCTACATAGTGAGTCCCTGTCTCAAATTGAGGAGAAGTTATAGCTCAAGTGGTAGAGTGCTTGCTTGGCAAGCACAGGCCCTAAGTTCAAACCCCAGTACTGCCAAAGAGAAAAGAGACTAGATTTGGTTGGATGTGGTGACTCACACCTGTATAGAATCCCAGTGACTCAGATGAAGATAAGGAGGATTGCAGTTTGAGGCCAGCCCAGGCAAAAAGTTAGCAAGGCCCCATCTCAACAAACTGGGTGTGGTAGCAGACATTCCTGTAATACCAGCTTAAAAAAATCTGGATTTTTTTTATGAATATTTATTTTTGTATGTGTTCTTATTTCTTTACTTGGTTCCCTCTCCCTCCTGCTCCCAGTGGATCTTTTCAACATTGAGATTTAGCTTACAGATTACTTTTTCCTTCCCTTCCCCGAACAACTAACTGGCTAATCCTTCTATCAGACTCGTCTTCCTATAGGGAAAGGACCATGTCACTTTTTCTATGAGGGGCTAAAATAATAACATCTGGCAAAAGGCAGGGGTGAAATAACGATTGTTGGAATTATTATCAATTGCTAGGTGCCATTCCTGAGGGTAAATGGATTCTTTGTGTTTAATACTGTCTAGGAGTGGGTGAAAGTAGTAGTGGTTTTTTGTTTGTTTTTTGTGGGACTGGGATTTGAACTCAGGGACAGGCATGCACCATTGGTGCCTGGCATAGTGGTTGATCTTGATGGTTTTCTGTAAATAGCCATGATTTCCCTTAAAATCCACCTAAATTCCTGGTTGGGTGAAGACAGCAGCGTCTTCCAGCTTCATTGGAATTCCCAATGCTTAGGGCAGTGGCTTTCAGTTTCATTTAACGCTTTATGAATATTTTTTCCACTAGTGAGAAAATTTTCTTTTTTTCTAGCAGTACTGCAGTTGGAACTCTGGAGTTCATACTTGCTAGGCAGGAGCAGTGAAACTATTAACTCATAAGTCTGTCGTCTTAGCTTTCACAAATAGTACAAAAGAGGCAGAGCTGGTGGCTCATGCCTGTAATCCTTGCTACTCAGGAGGCAGAAATCTGGAGGATCTGGTTCGAAGTCAGGCCCCCCCAACAAATAGTTCATGAGATCCTATCTTTAAAAGAAACCTATCACAAAAAAGGGCTGTCAGAGTGGCTCAAGTGGTAGAGTGCCTGCCTAGCAAGCCTGAGGCCCTGAGTTCAAACTCCAGTGCCGCCAAAAAAAAAAAAATACAAATAACAAAAAGGAAAAAAAACAATGAGCAAGAAATGATAGTGCATCCCTGTAAGTCCAGCACTTGGAAGGCCGAGGCAGAAGACAAGTTCAAGTCAGCCTCGGCTTACATAGTAAGATTCTGTGCAAAAAAAGCCAGCAGAAATATCTCTTCTGTTTATTTTCCTTTCTGCTACTCTGGTCCAGGTTTTCATTATCTGCCGTGTTAAATACATTATCTTCAGGGTGGCTGTATTCTTGCCTCTGCTTTTTTCCTTCCTGCCAGTCCTATAAATTACTGACTAATTAAAGTAGTTGTAATACATTCGTACATGTTTATCCACCAGTCTCCCTCCAAAAAAAAAATGTCTTTATAGTTCTCTGAAGGCATCATTCTCACTAGTACTCTTGTACCTTTGCTCTCATATTCCCTTCATCTGAAATACCCTGCCCTCTCCTCTCTGAAGCCTTAAATCCTTAAGGACCAGACCCAATTCTTATACCCTTTAATATGAATTATTCTAGGGAGGATTGCAGTTTGAGGCCAGCCAGCTCAAAAAAGTTAGTGAGAAGCTGTCCCAACTTACAAGTCATGCATATTGGTTCATGACTGGTTTTTTTTTTTTGTGGTACTGGGGTTTGAACTTGGGGCCTCAGTGCTTGCTAGACAGGCACTTTACCACTTGAGCCACTCCAAACTCATGATCCTCCTGCCTCATCCTCTTTGTCTCGTTGATTACTGGAGTGTGCCACCACGACCAGCGGTTCACATCTGTAATTGCAGCTAGATGGTTGGCATAGTAGAAAGACTGAAGTCCAATGCCAGCCCAGACAAAAAGTGTAAGATCGTATCAGAAAAATAATTAAGCACAAAAAAGGTTCTGGGCATGGCTCAAGTGGCACAGCATGCTTAAGTCCCTGGGTTCAAACCCCAGTACCACCAAAAACATGAGTGTGTGTGAATTCTTCAGAAACCTTTGAACAAACTAGATGCCAGTAGCTCACAGCTGTAATCCTAGCTACTTGGGAGGCTGAGATCAGGAAGATCACGGTTTGAGACCAGTCCAGGCATATAGTTCACAAGATCCCATCTCCAAAATAGACTGGAAGTGTGGCTCAAGTGGTAGAGTGCCTGCAAGCACAAAGCCCTGAGATCAAACCCCAGTCCCACAAAAAAAATCAAAAAAACCTTTGAACAGTTATTATGTTCACCAAAAACTGGTGAACTTGTCAACTTGTTTGATGATTTTATGTAGTAAATCAATTGGAATTTGTCTTTTGTTTATGACTCAAATATACTAATTTTTTACTTTCCTTGCAATATTAAAGGAATACAGAGGATATGATAACATTTTGAATGTATCTAAGATGTCACTGATTGTGAGAGGTTTAACTGTGAAAGAAATGCTACCATTCGTGCAAAACACATCTCAATTTTTTAAGATGAGTCTATGAAGTACAATGTAAGGAATATCATTTATTCACCACTTTGTCTAAAAAAAAATCAGTACAGTTAACCCTCTATGTACCTCTTCCCTAGCTATACTCCCTCATCCTGAATTTAGTGTTTATCATTTGATCCTTTTATACTTTTACTAAATATGTATGTGACTCTGCAACATGTAGTATTAGTCTTTTTTCTTTTTTTCTTTTCTACCACTGTTCCTTCACTAAACTCTGACGATTTTTGAATAGTACTCCTGAAGACTTTAGAGACTGTAAAAGTTCTTACAGTCCTTTGTCTTAAATAATCTTTAGGAACAAAATATTTCCAATTACTTATCCATCCATTACTTAATAGAATAAATTGACACTGTTGACTGTGAAATATGTCAGCTCATGTTTCTTCCCTGTTCTTTCCTTCTGTTTTCTTTCTATTTTTGCTGTCTGTAGGGAGGTTTTAGGACTCCTCAGTCTTCTCAAAGTGATCCCTTTGCAACCCACTGGCTTTTGAAGAGATGATGTACAGCTGGGGCTAGCTGAGCACTGACAAAGAATATATTACCCAGTTGCATGTATGTTGCACCTGTGGGACTGTTAGGACCTTCTGGGCAGAGGAGCAGGTGCTTCTGTTCCCTCTGGGAATAGTATTCTAATTTATGTTTTTATCAGTTCTCATGGCCCGGTCAATTATGCAACTTGTAAAAATTAGGCTTGCCATCCTTTTTTTTTTTTTTTTTTTTTTTTGTATTACTGTGGTTTGAACTCAGGGCCTCATGCTTGCTAGGCAGGTGCTGTTACCACTTGAGCCACTCCACTAGCCCTTTTTTATGATGAGTTTTTGTTTTTGAGATAGAGTCTCTGGAACTATTTGCCTGGGGCTTGCTTCAAACTGAGATCCTCCTGATCTAGTCCTCCTGAGTAGCTAGGATAACAAACATGAGTCACCGGCCCCCAGCCACACTTGCCATCTTAACTATGACACTAATGCTGTGTTGAAACTCAACTGAGATTTTAAAAAAAAAAAAAGGCCTCAAATATACTGCTAGGATGCTTTTATAAATCAGTGCCTTCTGTACTTTATTCCACAGCTTGCTCAGACTAAGTTTTTGGTCATAGAGAGTCATGATGAAGGAATGGAGAAAATGCACTGATGTCGATTCTTAGGATTGTTAACTACACTTGAAACTTTACAAGGATTTTTCTTTTGCAGAAGCTAGGGATTGGACCCATAGCCTTGAACGTGTTAGCCAAGCATTATTCCAACTCCTCAGTCATTATGTATTTAAGAACCATAGTCTTAGGGCTAGCAAAGTGGCCCAAACAGTAGAGCACCTGCCTGGCAAGTGTGAAGCCCTGAGTTCAAACCACAGTGTCACCAAAAAAGAAAAAAAAAAGAACCACAGTCCTGGTTTCCTAAGGGAAAAATATATCTTCTTTTAGGGAATGCTACCAGAAATGGAATTATTGCTATTTTGCTTTTCATTTTTGCTTCTTAATTGGTTAGAGGGCTTGAGCTCCTTCCCTCATTAATGTGAAGTATATTTCTGACTACAACTTATAGGGCTAGTTTGTACTCTTCCCCCACTCACCCCTTGCCATACTCTGGGTTGAAATCAGGGTCTTGCCCTTACTAGTCAGGTGTTGTACCCCCTGAGCCACTGCCAGCCCATGATTATCTTTTAATTGAGAAAATAGATGGCGCCCTTGGCTAAGCCGGTGCTATAGGATGAATCTGAAGTTGAGATCAGACCTTTATCTTCTGAGAGCTCTGGTTTACATTACCAATAATGATGTTGTTCAGGTGATGTTTTTGCTTTTGGAAGAATCTCCCTAGTTCAAAAGCAGTATTATAAATCAGGTGTGGTGGTATGTGCCTGCAATTCCAGTTACTCAGGAGGCTGAAGGATTGCATGTTCAAGGCGAGCCTGAGCAACTTAGACCATGTCTCAAAACAAAATATAAAAAGGCTGAGAGCTGGACTTGGTGGTGGACATCTGTAATCCCAGCACTGAGGAGGCTGCCACAGGAGAATCTCAAGTTCAAGGCCAGTCTGGGCTACATAGTAGGACCCTGTCTCAAAAGAAAAAAAAACAAAAACAGTAATATAGTTTGAAATTCTTCCTAGAAAGACAACATTAACAAATTTATAGGTTTAACCTAAGAATTTGCCTTTTTTATGTTTATATAGGTGTGGACACTGCAAGAGGCTTGCCCCCGAGTATGAAGCTGCGGCTACCAGATTAAAAGGAATAGTCCCATTAGCAAAGGTGAGTATAGCTGGATTCAACATTAAAGACTAAGAAGTATTTTAAGTAGTAGTATATAAAGTTTTTTTAGGTGCTAAGAATACTAGTTTCTGGACAAATTTATACATAACTCTTATATTAATTTCTAACTTTAAAAGATTAAAAGTAGAGAGACCAAGAAAATTATTGCCTTAAGAAAGAAACTATATGGACTGGTGGGGTGGCTCAAGTGGTTGAGCACCTGCCTAGCAAGCATGCGGCCATGAGTACCATCCCCCCCCCCCAAAAAAAAAAAAGAAAGTATATGGTAATTAAGAAAACTGTTGTAAAGGTCAGTGGGAAATGATCATTATGTAAATAAATTCCCTTAAATTCCATATGGGGGGAAGGGGGAAGGGTGGGGTAGAGGGACAGGGTGGAGAAATGACCCAAACAATGTATGCATATGTGAACAAATGAACAAAAAAATAAAATAAAATAAAATTCCATATGATATTAAGTGGTAAAAACAGGAAAATGACATGAGGCTATTGATGAATATGTAAGCAACTAGTCAGCTGTAAACCTGACACTTGTTTTTACAATTAATGATTCAGCAGACCTGATAGTGCATGCCTGTAATCCCAGCACTCAGAAAACTGAGGTAGAAGGATCGCATGTTCAAGGCCAGCTGGGATGCATAGTGAGACCCTGTCTGGTGAAAGAAAATAATAAAGAAGGGGTGGCGGGCGTTTTACCATTGTTCTATAGTAGTTCCAGTCCGAAGCCCACATCTCTGCCAGCCTCAATTAGTAGTTCACAGGTACATATAAGGCTGCTTTTGGAAACTACTTTTAATCTTGATCTCAAGCAGCTTAGAAAAGTTTAATCACATTGTAATTCTTGCTTCATGTGACTATAGACATGAACCTGTTTGACTTTAGACACATTGATTTTCTGGGCCTCAGTTTAAGGATCAAACCTCAGAATCTTGTAAAGATTAAAAAGGGATAATATATGCAAAGTGCCTATGGCACTGCGTGGTTCAGAGTAAGTAGCTAAGAGATGAAATTGTTTCCTTGCGCTTGATAGGTTTCACGAGGTCTGTTATGCTGTGATTTAGCCCAGATTCAGACTAGCCCAGGGAGCCTGTATGTTATTGATACCTTTGCTAATTGCTCCAAGAGATTCGCAAAATGAAATTATACTCTATTACATATCCCTTTGATGATAGTCTTTATCACTGTTAGGAGTGGGGGTGGGAATTCAGCTCCATGGTAAGGTACTTTCTTAGCGTGTGGGAAGCACTGGGTTTGACCCCCAGCAAGCAGGGCGGGATGGGGGAGGGTGAGAGAAAACCACTATTAGTAATTGAAGTGGTTTATTCTTCACATGTTCTGAAGCAGAAAAAAGGAGGAGACCATTGTTTAGATAATAGAGACAACAGCAGAATTTAAACACTAATCTTAGCATTTTGTATGAAGTCTAGGAATCTAAACTTTAAAATCTCTGAGGCAGTTCTGATGTAGTTAGAAACGTACTTGCCCCGAGTTCAATACCCAGTACCACCAAAAAAAAGCTTAAAAAAAAATCTAATATTCTGTGGTATATATACCACAAATTTCTTGATCTTCTTATGATTTGACTACTCCTAATATTTTAAGTATATAGGAAAAACCTGTAGCATGGATTTGGACAACAAAGTAACTTACATGTTTTGATCTTTAGGTTGATTGCACTGCCAACACAAATACATGTAATAAGTACGGAGTCAGTGGGTATCCAACCCTGAAGATATTTAGAGATGGTGAAGAAGCAGGTGCTTATGATGGGCCTAGGACTGCTGGTAAGGATCTTGGATTACATTCTGGGAACTGAATTTCTTTCCCTTTTTTTTGTTTTTTTTTATAGGATTTGAACCCAGGGTCTCAAGCTTGCTAGGCAGGTGCACAACATACCTCTAGCCCTTTTTGCTTGTAGCTATTTCTCAGATAGGTTCAGGTAGGCCTGGGTTGCAATCTATCTCTTTATGCCTTTCTCATACTTGAGATGACAGATGCATATCACTTTGCCTGGCTTATTTGTTGAAGTGGGGTCTTGCTAGTTTTCTGCCTGGGCTGGCCTCGAATGTGATCTTCCCAGTCTCCATTTCCTAAGTAACTGGGATAACAGGCATGAACCACCACTGCCAGCCTGTCAGTCCATTGTTTTTAATAGTAGAAACATGAAAAATTGTTTTTCTATAGAAAATGCTTTTCATTTTAAAAAATTTCTCTACTAAGAGGTCAGTTCAATAGGTAACAAAAAACTTCTCTAAATGAACAGGTTAGAAAGTAGTATAGATAATACTTGAACTTGAGATACAATTGTTTTTTTAATTCCTGCTCTGTGCCAGATATTCTAGATATACTAGATATTTGGTATTGATAAATAAAACAAACAAGATTCCTACCTTTTTGGCACTTACATTCCAGGTAATGAGGGGAAGAAGACAATAGTTATAAAAAATAGATACATGAGGACTGGAAGTATGGCTTAAACTATGGAGCACCTGCCTAGCAAGTACGAAGCCCTGAGTTCAAATCAAACAGATTTAAAAAAAGGATATAAATAACTATCTCACACCCATAAAGATAGCATAAATATATATATAGGTTTTTTTTCTAGTTAATGTGTTGGGTTTTACCTCTGTGGTGGATTGATTGCTTAGCATGTATTCATAATGGCCAAAGGTAGAAATAATTCAAGTGGCTGTCTGCAGGTGGGTAAACAAAATGTGATACATACATGCAATGGAATGTTTTTCAGTTTTAAAAAGAAAGGAAATCCTGACATCTGCTATGATTTGGATGAACCTTCAAGACATTAGGCTGAGTAGGGGGCAAAAAAAACAGTCACAGTCACAGTAGACAAATACTGTATGATTTCAGTTATATAAGTTACGTAGATTAGTCAGATTCAGAGACAGAAAGCACTGGGGTCAGTTGCCAGCTGCTGGAAAAGAGGAGTAAAGGAGAGTTGTCTAATGGGTAGTGTTTCAGTTTGCAGAATAGACATGATTTGTACAAAAGTGTGAATGCACTTAATGTCCCAGAACTGTACACTTAAAAAATGGTTAAGATGAAACAAAACTGTGCCTGGATAAGATAAATTTCCTTAGTGATAAGAATATTAAAGGAAAAAAATAAAACCAGATGATGTGATAGTAGTTGGGACTGACAGAACCATATAATCAGAGTGATGAGGGAAGAAACCTTTGAGCTAAAACTAATAGGAAGGAGCCAGCAATAGAAATCTTGGCCAGAGCTTTTTAGACAGAGGAAAAGCAGGTGCAAAAAGGCTGTAATATGTAACAGATTGGTGTTTTGAAGGGACAGGAAGGCCATGTGGACAGAATTATCCCAAGGATAAGGGGTGAAATTTGAGAGCCAATCAAGGGACTATATCCTCTAGAGCTCCCAAATGATGAGGGGACAATACTTACATATGATATGACACTTTTGTTTTGCATTTATCAAATAATTGGGCATATTTTACCTTTTACAATGGATTGGAAAGAGGTTGAGTTTTGGGGGTTTAGGAAAAAATAGGGAGTCTTATTCATGTACAAAGCACTGTAAAGATAACCCCTACCTAACTCTGATGCCATCTCAAGACTGTTGGACCTCAGTCCTATTGCCCTGGCTGTATTCATAGCTTGAAATGATCTTTCCTTATATTTGCATTGCTTACTCCTTTAAGTTGTTCAGGTCATGGTTTGAATTTTTCCTCAGAGACTAGACCTAAGGTAGCCACCCAGTTATTTTCTTATGTCATCATCCTTTTAATTTTCTGCATAGCAGTGATTGCTAGTTGATTGGTTACATAATCAGTTTATTTGGAAATTTATAATACAGGTGTTTATTGAACTTTTTATGTGGTAGGCACTATAGTAAAACAAAAGTACCTATCCATTTGGAATGGTAGTAAAGAGAGAAGAAGAGAGAGGAAATAACAGGTAAATCTCTTTGGAGAGCGGTTCAACAATTATAAATACGTGTATTCTTTGACCCAGTGAATTCACTTCTAAAAGTTTACCCTTCAGTATACTTTTGTGTGTAAACTGACATTAATACAAGGTTGTTTATCACAGAATAATTTGAAATAGCAAGAACTAGAAACAAATGTTCAGCAGTTGTGGGTTAAATAAATTATAGTATATTCATACTATACTGAAACACTGTGCAGCTATGCTAAAAAGTTGAGGTAACTCTTAATGCATGGATATAAATTACCTCTAAACTGTTAAGCAACAAAAACAAAGGACAACATGTATATGATGTTGTTTTGAAGATTAAAAAAAGAAAAAGAATAAATACATCATTGCCTATTTATTTACAAAATGTAAATAAATATATTATTATTTACAAAATAATACTTACATTATTATTTACAAAATGAGTATACAAGAAACTGAAATCTTTTTAGGGGGATGTTAGTGGGGTTTGAATTCACAGCCTACTGCTCTACCACTTGAGCCATGCCCCCAGCCCACAAAACTAAAATCTTATCCTATAGGAAAGGAACTGGAAGAGTAGGGACAAAGGTGGGAAGAAAACTTCATCATTAACACTTTTGTACCTTTTGAACTTTGAATCATATGAATAATTACCTTCTCAAAAGTGTTGAATTGTGTTGCTGTAACTTTTGTCTAAGATGGAATTGTCAGCCACCTGAAGAAGCAGGCAGGACCAGCTTCAGTTCCTCTGAGGACCGAGGAGGAATTTAAGAAGTTCATTAGTGATAAAGATGCCTCTGTGGTGGGTAAGTAGTGAATGTTTAATTTTGTCACAAAATCATCACCTTGGCTTAGAAAATCTTCATGTCTAGGAACCCTCCAGGCAGTTTGAAGACAACTGACAGCATTACTATAACATGGGAAAGAATGGAACTTTGAGTGGGCTTCTGTAAAGGTTTGATTTCAGTTAAAAGATTCTTTTTTTTTTTTTTTTTTTGTGGTACTGGGGTTTGAGCTCAGGGCCTGGTGCTTACTAACCAGACACTGTACCATTTGAGCCAGGCCTCACCCATCTTACTTTTTAAACTCTGAGATTTGACTGTTAGTATGGTAGTTACAGCTGAAAATAAGGTTTTTAAGGCAAGAGGATAAAAGTAAATAATACATTGCTATGACTGCTGTTTTCACAATAATAAAATTTAAAATTTAAGCTCAGATTCCTAGGATTTGTCTTATAATTTTGTAGCCATCTTTACTTTTTGGGATTAGTCTGGTTCCTGTTGCTATAGCAAAATACCTGAGGCTGGATAGTTTATAAAGAGGTTTATTTAGCTCACAGTTTGGGAGTTCAAAAGCATGACATTAACGTCTGCTCAGCTCTGGTGAGGGTACTCCTTAGCTGCATATAAATTGTGTTTGTCCTTTTTTTGTGTGTGATTGTTGGGAGGGAACATGACTGTGGTTTGAACTCAAGGCTTTGAGCTAACAAAGCAGTCACAGTACCACACCTCCAATCCATTTGCTCTGGTTATTTTGGAGATGGGTATCATGAACTATTTGCCTAGGCTGGCCTCCAACCACAATCCTCCCTATCTCAGCCTCCCAGGTAGCTAAGATTAGAGGCATGAGCCACCTACACCCAGCTTGCTTTTCATTTAAATTTGACTAAAGGGGGAGAAATGGCCCAAACAATGTATGCACATACGAATAACCGAGAAAAGTAAATAAATAAATAAATTTGACTAAAGCTACTTCACCTGGATTGTGCTAATTCTATATAGTTTGCAAGGAGTTAACGTAAGCAGGCACTTATTAAATGTTTGTGTTTTGGTCACTTTTCCTGGTTTTGTTTGTTTGTTTGTTTTGTGTTTTGCTTTTAAGATAGGATTTTGTTATGTAATCCATGCTGACCTGAAACTCAGAATACTCCTGCCTCTACTGGGATTGTAGGCATGAGTCACCATACCCAGCATTTTCGGTCACTTTTCTAGACTTTAAATTCTAAAGACAGGCATAGAAAAAATAGGGTAAAGTGATTTATAGTTTATTTTGACATACTATCTTCATCCTTCCAAGACCTGTAATTGTTCCTAAAACTCTATAAAGAAGTTACGCAGTTTGCTCAATTGTGGAAAAAAAAGAATGAAGACTCGAACCCTAATAAATGCTCTCTCTTGGCTCTCTAAGAAATGTTTCTTTACAAGATGGTGGAGGTCTTATCAAAGTCATACTATATCATGTCAAATATCCAAAGTTGGGTGGGAACATGGCTTAAATAGCCAAGCTCAAACCCCTGTGCTACAAGCAAAAAAAAGAAAAAATTATGAAAAAGAATTCAAGCTGGTGGAGTGGCTCAGGTGGTATAGTGCCTGCCTAGCAAGTGTGAAGCCCTGAGTTCAAACCCCAGTACCGCCAATAAAGAAAAAAAGTCAAACAAAACCAAAGTAGTTGTAGCAAAGCAGACCCCATCCTTTTATCTGTGGTAATAACTTTGCTTATTCATAATAGAATTTTAAGTTTTTCATATCTCTCAGCACTTACTCCTTATTCCTTGTGTTTGACATTTTCTATATAGGTTTTTTCAGGGATTTATTCAGTGAAGCACACTCTGAGTTCCTGAAAGCAGCCAGCAACTTGAGGGATAACTACCGATTTGCACACACCAATGTTGAGTCTCTGGTGAAGGAGTATGATGATAATGGAGAGTAAGTGACTGAATTTAATGCCCTTCTAAATCTCTATTACTGTGCAAACTGCTGGCAATAGTGTTTGCAATAGTGTGAGTACTTGTACCTATCAAGCTAGGTTCTGGAAACTATTGTTGCCTGTGAAGGGCATCTATTAGGGGAGACAGTGTATAAGCAAATATATCCAAAAATTTAAGTGCAGGTGAATGTTAAATGTGTTGTGATAGAAATGTATACAGAAAGGGCTGGAGGCAGGAGTACTTTCTAGCAAGCATGAAGCCCTGAGTTCAAACTCCAATACCACAGGAAAAAAAAAGGGGGGGATGCAGAGTGTTGGTGAGCAAAGGAGGGTTTGGTTTTATTTTGTCTTTTTCTTTTAGGTGGGGAGTTGCAAGTTTAGGCCAGCCTGGGTTTTATGGTGAGACCCTGTCACAAAAACCAAAAATAAGATGAGTTTTTCTAGGAAGATTATAACAGTTCTATTAAATATAGTTCTAAGTCGAGCAAGAATATAAAACAGCCCTGACATTGGAACCTATAGCACTGCTAGGGTATTGTTTGTGAACAGAGTCATAATGAGAAGCATGGTTGGAAAGGCAAGCGGAGACCAAATTGTAGATGTTAAGTGCTGTGCAAAAGAATGTAGATACTATCTTTTAGACAGTTGAGAGCCATTGAAAGACTTGTTCTGAGGAATAATGTGGTTAATTTTGCATTTCAGTACAGAAGTTACTGACACCCATGTAGTAGTAGTTTGAAAGAGGAGTAGGGCAAAACAGGAGGGTGACATCTGAGAAACTAAACTAAGTACTAGTGGCAAAAGAGAAGAAGAAATACAAATAAAAATGTAACAACAGGCTTCCATCACTTACTGTATGTGGAAAGGGGAAAATCTACAGTAAGTGTAACTTTCTAACAACTTTAATGATTGGACCCATAGTCATAAGTTGGGAAACAAAGAGAAACAAATTTAGAGAAATGATGATAAGATCTATTTTGAACACAATGAATTTGTTTTTTGGGGGATAGGGTCTTATTATGTATCTCTGGCTGACCTCAAACTTTCAGTCTTCTTACCTTGGCCTCCCACATGCTGGGATTACGTGCATCTGCCACTACATGTGGCTTGACATGATGAGTTTGAGAAATTTGTGAGTTGTCAAGATAGTGAAGAATCAGTTGATAAGTTGGATAAATGAGACTAGAATTTGGTTGCAGATTCACACAGAGTTCTGGGGATCAAACTGAGGCCTTGTGCATACTAGGCAAGTGCTCTGCTACTGAACTACACCCTCAATCCTCAGGAAGAGTTTTTGACTAGAGATAAAAATTTGTAGTGAGCCACAGGGGTACACACTTACAAACCCAGCTCTTGAGAGGCTGAGGCAAGAGAATCATAAGTTTGAGGGCAGTCTGGGCTACATAGTAAGACACTGTCTCCAAAAAAAATAGGCCTTATTATGCATACAGTTTTGATAACCCTTAGGCTATTATCAGATGACAATAAATTGTGTTTTTACTTCAAAAATTAAAAAAGGTCAATCACATGTAATGTAAAATCACTAAAGATGGATAAAGAAAGGTATGTCAAGGACTAGTATTTTTTTATATTTAACAAAATATGTAGTGTTTACTATATGCCATTTACTGTTGTTACTTATTTAACCCTATGAGACAATTATTGTCCTTTTTTGGGGGGGTGTGGTACTTGGGTTTGAACTCAGGGCCTCACACTTGGTAGACAGACACTCTACCACTTGAGCCACTCCACCAGCCTTTTTTTGTGTTTTTTGTTTGTTTGTTTGTTTGTTTTTGTTTTTAATTTCTTTCTGTGGCAGTTCATGCTTATGAGGAAGGCACTTACCACTTTGGCTATGCCTCCAGCTTTGTTGGGTATTTTCAAAATAGGGTCTTGCGAACTATTTGCCCCAGCTGGCTTCAAACCACGATTCTCCAGAGTAGCTAGGATTACAGGCGTGAGCCACTGGCACCTGAGATATTAGTAATTAGGGATGTTTTCTTGGAAAGCTGGTACTAGATATGAACCTGTGACTCAACCAAGCCTAAGGTACAGCTTTAGCTGATGAACAACATGAAATGAAAGGAATTTGCTTTCTCATGTGTCTCAATGGATTGAAGAAAACTTGGCTGCTTATGTGAGAGGCAAAGTCGTACCAGCCAGCAAGAGAGAAAAATTTCTAAACTTGGTTTTTTGTAATGGAGAAGTCTAAAAGGAATTTTATATGGACTTAAGCTAAATTTTGTCTGTAATTATATACCTATTAACATTTTATAACGGGAAGGACTCTTAAATGTATTCCATCTGATGAAGTGCTTTTCTTCTGGGTGACAAACAATTTTCAAAAGCAAGGGACCTTTCTTTAGAGCAAGCTCTGCTGTATGTTGTACATACTGGGTTTTGTTTGTTGCGGTTCTTCAAGATGTGGAAGGTAATTATCCACTCTCTTTTGAGATATGGTTTCACTATGTAGCCTAGACTGGCCTTAAACTCTCAATCCTCCTGCCTCAGCCTCCCTAGGGCTGGGATTACACACGTGTACACAACTGGCTTTTAACTCTCCTGAGCTAATAAAAAAACCATGAAGTCCAGAAGAATTAAATTGACACCTGGTCCAGGGTCTTTGAAATTAGTGGTGGGGCTAAGATTAGAATCATGGTCTTTTCACTTTCCCATTCAAGATTTATTAAACCCTATACCCAGTTACTATACTCAAGACCAGCTTGGTTTTGATGAAGTTATGTTACCAAGTCTGTGTTCCTAGAAGAATACTTTTGTGCTTAGTGATACAAAATGTAGTCTGAGGGTTGTTTTTTTGTTTTGCTTTGTTTTTGTTTTGGCTTTTTGTTTGTTTGTTTGTTTTTAAAGACAGGGTCTCACTATGTAATCCAGGCTGGCCTTGAACTATTTCCACCTCCAGTGCTAGGGTTATAGGCATATATCACCACACCTGGCTGTTTTTGAGATTTAAATGAAAAATGGGATACAATTTCTCTTTTATCTGCTAAGACTTTTTTTTTTTTTTTAAGGGGTATCACCTTATTTCGCCCTTCACATCTTGCTAACAAGTTTGAGGACAAAACTGTGGCATATACTGAACAGAAAATGACTAGTGGCAAGATTAAAAAGTTTATCCAGGAAACCATGTGAGTATCTCTTAAAAACCTTGTCTGGAATTTCTTTGCTTCATTTTAATTTATTTACCTCATTCATTAAGCAGAGCCATGTTTTGTAGGGGATTATAATAAAAGTAGTTTATTGTTAAAGCAATAATGTGTGGGTCCTACAACTCTTACCATGGTCTTATAAGGTATAGTGTTCAGTATTTGTCCTAAATGTTGAAAATATCTTCCCTTTATAAATGCTGTCAGTTATATTGTGAAAATTGCACAAATATAACTATAACTTCCAAAGTTGACAATGGGTTATTTCATTTCAGTTTTGGTATCTGTCCTCACATGACAGAAGACAATAAAGATTTGATACAGGGCAAGGACTTACTTATGGCTTACTATGATGTGGACTATGAAAAGAATGCTAAAGGTTCTAACTACTGGAGAAACAGGTAATAAGAATCATGTTTTCCCTTTGGAAACAAATTTACCCAGTGCAATAACAGTTCCTTCTAATTATCTTGTTACCATGTATAATGTAAGAATAGAGAAGAGTAGGAACATTCTCCAAAAACTGAATTTGAAGCTGTAAGGACATACAACAAACTATTTCCAAAATCTACTGGGCATGTTTTCCATAGATGTTCCTTTGCATTGTGATGCAATGACTCCAAGCCTTAAAGTAAAAGGTGCAAATTTGATGTAAAATGAACTTAAAAAAAACTTGTCCGCTTGCCTATTGAGATTCTTAGTTCAGTTTATTCTTCTACTCTTTTTTTCAAATCAGTCATGCCTGCAGTAGATTTTATAGTTATGTAATACAGCAAGATTCGATGGGAATGAATCCTTTGATTAGGGACTACCAATTTGGCAGTGAAGTTCAGTAAGATACTGAAGTATTCCATAATCCTGTGTCAGTGCCTGGGAGCACTCGTTCAGACTAATTCCAGAGAGGTGCATTGACTGTAGAACTTACTCTTTGCTTTCTAGCCTCCTAGTTTTTTTATTTCAAAAATGCTTTACTCACCTTGATAAAATATTAGCACAAATATCTCTTCTCACAGAGTGATGATGGTGGCAAAGAAATTCCTGGATGCTGGACACAAACTCAGCTTTGCTATAGCTAGCTACAAAACTTTTAGTCATGAACTGTCCGATTTTGGCTTGGAAAGCACTACTGGAGAGATTCCTGTGGTTGCCATCAGAACTGCTAAAGGAGAGAAGTTTGTCATGCAAGAAGAATTCTCGTGAGTTGCTACTTAACTTGGGGATTTCACTCTGTGAAAAAATTATTAAAGCATTTTGCACTTCTAAGAATTTATGAAGAACAATGTTGGAGTAAGAAGATAGGTCTTTTCAAGAGCTGTGACTTTTTCTCAGCTTAACTGTAGGTATTTTAAGGATCATGATCCTTAACAATTTTGTGCAAGCTAACAAGAGGAGAGCAGCTTGGAATTGTTACATGATTCTTCTCCATTAAAAGTAGCAAAGAGGTCGTTCTCACTCCAGAAACAACCTGCTTTCAGTCTATTGAAAGTATTTTCCCTTCCTGTTGAACTTGATCACTTCTACTATTTAAAAAAAATGTAGTAAAGTGGTTTGGACAGCCTCCTTGAGATTGATGAATTTCAAATCAGCCCCCTCCCATCTCTTCTTGGAATTCTTTTTTTCTTGGAATACCATATGTAAACATAGGGAATTGGGAGTATCTTAAGACCCCAGACACCATTTTTACCTTCACCTTCTGAGACTTTCCAAGATTAAAGAAGACAAATCTTCTTTATAGCCAATCAGTAAAACAAGATACGGTAAATAGGAATTTTTTCAGAGCAACAAGACCTGGTTCATTTGTAAAAATGAATCTCTAAAGGACCATTGTTCTTCCTTCTGAACTTTCTAATCTATTTTAGAAATAAAAAGAGGTGGTTTGTTCCTTGCTCAGTTCTGCCTGTTGAACGATAAGAGGCCTCCCCTTTTTGTTAGCTGTGAAATTGAAACTAAAATATGTACAAACTTCAGAGAAATAGCTTGTAATCTCAGTGGTGAGATTTATTAACAACTTGATCCTGTCCTTCCAATTGCAGGCGTGATGGCAAGGCCCTGGAGAGGTTCCTGCAGGACTATTTCGATGGCAACCTGAAGAGATACCTGAAGTCTGAGCCTATCCCAGAGAGCAATGATGGTCCTGTGAAGGTGCGCTGCTCGTGCCTTACCAAGCCTGGCAGCATTGCCTCCTCCTGTGTTTATTCCAGAAATGCTGGGTCTAAACAAAAGCCTCGTTGGCCATGTTTTGTTTTTTTTTTTTCAGCCCTCACCTCGCTGGCTCATAAATGTTGGCAGAGTTCATAATGCTCAGTAAGGACAAGAGTATTAAAACCATCTTAGAATTTTTGTGTGTGCGCGGGGGGAGGGTTTGAACTCTGTGCTTCGCACTTGGAAAGCAGAACCTCCAACACTTGAGCCACACTTCCAATTCATTTTGTTCTGGTTATTTTGGAGATGGGCAGTCTCATAAACTGTTTGCCCGGACTGGCCTCAAACCGTGATCCTCCTTCCCTCTCTCAGCCTCCCAGGTGGCTAGATTGTAGGTATGAACCATTGGCATCCAGCTTAATAGAAGATTCTTACAAGATTTACATCTAGATTACTCCTTGGGATAGAGCAAGCTAGCCATTAAGACTAGCTCTGGCATTATTTTTAAGGAATTGTTAGGTGGCATTTCTATTTCCTGTGACTTCCCTGACATAGTTTGATAGATGGTAGATATGAAAGCTAGTTAGCTAGTTAATGGGGAATAGTAACATCTTTAATTTAGTCTGTAAATTTGAATTGAGTTTCCATGACTTATTTTCAGTCATAATACATCAGGTTTAAGATCCATAAACAAATAGAGCTTGTGGATTTTTGCTTCATCTCACCTTCCAGGTAGTGGTAGCAGAGAATTTTGATGAAATAGTGAATAATGAAGATAAAGATGTGCTGATTGAATTTTATGCCCCTTGGTGTGGTCATTGTAAGAATCTGGAGCCCAAATATAAAGAACTGGGAGAGAAGGTAAGTTTTAACCCTATTCTGAAGATAAAATTTGAGCTGAAAGTTTATGTACACATTCAGTATTAATTTCTTGCCCTAATTAGTTTACTTCCTTAGTGCTGATAGAAACTATCATTTCCTTACTTTCTCTTGAATGTCCCCTACTCTCTGTAGCCTATGCACTGCCTCAGATAGCCAAGTTTCCACTCATTAGATTATGGGTAAAAAATGTCTAGGAGCTTCTGAATTTGAGAAATGGCTTATATGAATCCACACATGCCTGTATCTTAAAACAAGTGGCTTAGCCCTTATAATGTCTTACTCGGGTCAGGTAAATTTGAAGGTGGCTCTATGAAGTCTTGTTTTGTTTGGAGACAAGATCTTTGTTTGTTTGCAGTACTGGGCTTTGAACTTGGGCTTCACACTTGGTAGGCAGACACTCTACCTTTTGAGCCACTTCACCAACCCTAGAGATGGGGTCTTGATATGTAGCCCAAGTGACCCTGAAACTTGGCTGTCCTCCTCTCTCAATCTCCTGAGTGCTGGGATTAGAGGCATATGCCACCATACCTGGCTTCATGTATAGTCTTAATATGTAGGAACCAAAAGAGAAAGAGAAAGCTGGGAAGTTAGGTACTATCTGTAAGCATCAGCACTCTTCCCATCTGAACATCTTAGCCAAGTAAAGACTGAGATTGCTTTAAGTTCACTAAGTGTACCTGAGTTACTCCTAATTTGAATTTAAAAAAAAAGATCTAACCTTTTTATTAATAGCTCAGGAAAGATCCAAATATTGTCATAGCCAAAATGGATGCCACAGCCAATGATGTGCCTTCTCCATATGAAGTCAGAGGGTAAGTAGATTTAGAAGATTGGTTTCTTTGTTTATTTAGAGGTGCAGTTTCACTGTGTTGGCCCAGCTGGCCTCAAATTCTGGGGCTCAGGTTTAACTTCCTGTCCTTAGCCTCCCACGTAACTGAGACTCCAAGAACATGTTACCATGCCTAATTAACAAAAGTATCTAGACAATTGATAGGAAAAAATAAGCTTGTAAACTACCAGGAAACCATTTCTTTCCTAGACATGTTTTTAGGGTTCTTCATACTCAAGTTGAGAATAGAATCACTGATGCCTTTTTGACTTCAGTTCTGCAGTAGGACGCCCACCTGAAATTTTGTGAACTCTCGTAATTCTGAGTTTTGTTAGAATGTATTCTTTACTCTTGGAGAATAGTGTCTGGTCAGATTGGAAATCATAAGAGAAGAAATTCCCAGAAAGTTATCAGGGGAATACATGTCGAGTTACTCTGGAACCTAAAATTAATAAACTCTTCTTTTTTCTTTCCCTAGTTTTCCTACTATCTATTTCTCTCCAGCTAACAAGAAGCTAAGTCCAAAGAAATATGAAGTAAGTACATTGTCCCATTTTCCCAAAATCACAGATAGATAACCCAGTTCTTTAATTTGTCTGTAACTAGAAACTCTTTCAACTGTGACGGTCAATAATGTGGTTGCTAATGTGCTTTCACAAACTCAGAAGTCTTCCTAGTGGAAAAGCATCCAGAGTTCTTTAAAAAGCTAAATTTTCAGAACAGTCTTTCTGTTTGTTTTTTTTTTTAGGGTGGCCGTGAATTAAATGATTTCATTAGCTATCTACAACGAGAAGCTACAAACCCCCCTATAATTCAAGAAGAAAAACCCAAGAAAAAGAAGAAAGCACAAGAGGATCTCTAAAGCTGCAGCCAAACATACCACTTTGTAAAAGGACTCTTCTACCAGAGATGAGAAAACATTGGGGAGAACTGGGAACCATGTAGGATTATTTTACCTCTCGGGGCTGAGAGGACAGAATGGATATAATTTGAATCCTGTTAAATTTTCTCTAAACTGTTTCTTAGCTGCACTGTTTATGGAACCACCAGGACCAGTTTATGTTTGTGGTTTGGGGGAAAATTATTTGTGTTGGGGAGAATGTTGTGGGGTGGGGGGAAGTGAGTTTGGGGGTTATTTTCTAATTTCTTTTGTACATTTGGAACAGTGACAATAAATAAGCCCCCTTTAAAAACTCCCTTTTTCCATGGAATGGAAAATCAAAGATTCTCTAGACTATTACCGTCCAGTAGAGCTGTCTGCAGGGATGGGAACATTCTATAAATGTTCTGTAATCTACACCGTTTGATAGCTACAGAGCATTTGAAATGGGACTGTGAGCTACCTTTTTAATTTTCATTAATTTAAAAAGCCACATAGGCACCAGTGGCTCGTGCTTGTAAAACTAGCTATTCATGAGGCTCAGAGATCAGGAGGATTGAGGTTCGAAGCCAGCCCCTATCTTGAAAAAACTCATCACAAAAAAAGGTGCTGGTGGAGTGGCTGGCTGCCTTGCCTTGCAAGCTTGAGGCCCTGAGTTCAAACCTTGGCCAAAAAAAAAAGCCACATAGTGGCTACTGGGCTACTGTTCTGGTCCCTACAATGTATAGACTTGAGATGTACACCTATATACTTCTAAATATTTTTTAAATTTCTCACCTTTTTGTCCTTACATGTTTATTTGCCATACTCCTTGCCTAGTGATTAAAACAGGTGAAAGGCCCAGTCCACTCAGTGGTAGAGTGCTTGCCTAGCATGTGTGAAGACTTGGGTTCAATACCCACTGGGGGAAGGGGGTCTAAACCATAATCTTGGAGATTCTAATTCATAATACCTGGGCTGGGGAGAGGGATCTAATATTTTAGAGAGCCACAGAAATAGTTCACATGGACAGCCAGAGATGAGAACAACTATCTTGGAAGATTTAAGAAAAAACTTGCACAAAAGACATAACAGTCAGGTTTAATTTTTTAGCCATGTTTATAAAAAGACTCCACTTTCAGTACATACTTTCCCATCATCTCTAAGTGTGTTACAAGTTCTTTAATTCTGTTACCAAAAGTTACCATTTTTTTCTTTGAGAGTCTCCTATGCTAAATTCACTTAAGTTTGCCTAATATCTTCAGGCTATCTTGCCCTGGAAATTATGTAATTTCTCAGGACTTGAAAATTACTTTGTGGAACTAAAGTTAAAGAATATTAAGCTTCTGCTACTTTTCCTAGTCTCCTGGGCACAGCTGAGGAGTCTTTTGTACTATGCCCATACCCTAAGAAATTAAAATATGGCAACAATGAAAATACCTTAACCTAGAGCAGCTCTCTACTTGCCACCATGGACTCAAGTGATCACATATGAATGAAAAGCAGATGGTTGCATTCTATAGCTGCTGTGTTCATATCTCACTGGGCAGAAGGTCCGAGCCCCTTTGATAGCTTCAGCTGCCCCTGTTCTTTTCCTCAAATTCCAGAATGAGACCTTTAATGTGGGACAATTTCTGATGCAGGTACTCACAGCGACGCTTTTCTTCCTTGTAACCTGGGTACCGCTACAGAGAAAAAAGAGTATCCATGTCAAAGAGTACACTCTGATTTATTCCCCCCGCCCCGCCCCTCTTTTTTTTGTGGTACTGGAGTTTGCATTCTGGGCTTCATGCTTGCTAGGCAGGTGCTCTACTGCTTCAGCCACACCTTCAACTCAATTTCTACATTCTTACTTCCATTCTCAGAACTTGTCTTACCTTTCTGAACTTTTTATACTCCTGGACTACCTTATCTTCCAGTACCTGGAACAGAAAATACTAGTTCAACATTGAAAAATAAGGGAGAGAGTAACTTCTGTTCTCATTCTACCAAATGTTACAAAGTAACTTTTCTGCCAAAACAGGTTTGCTTGTCATATCCTTAGTCACTGAACAAACACAGGCTTCTGGGTAGTTAGCAGGAGGTAATGGCCAGTAAGGCTAGAAGAGCATCCTGGATCCAGCCCTTACCTTGTGTTCCGGAGTTCCTCGCTGAACTCTCTTGATCTCTGCTCCCAGCTCTATGAACCTTTGGCTTGCAGCCCCAACACGGGCATGGAGCATGCGGTATTCAGCATAATCTGCCTCAAAGTCCTGCTCATAGGCCTGTTGCTGCTCTGCACTGTGGATGGACCTGTATTGCCTGCCAGGGGAGTTGGCACCTTCAATTTTTTTGTTCCTAAAAGCTCTCGGCTCCCAGGGAGCTTATATAAAAGACCTGATGAAATTGGAAATGCAGGGAACTCACAGAATGTAATCTGGTATCTCTTCAGGGCTTGGGGATTCAGAGTCTAGAAAGGAAGCAAGAAAACAAAGTGATTATCCACCTTTTTTTCCACTGTAGTATTTTTACCTTCCTCTCATTAACTCACCTGCTTGAACTGAAGGACTATGCTCCAGTCTGGGGTCGGTGTCTTCATCTTTATCTTCTTGCTCCCAATCTTCTCCCTGTTGTGAGCCCTGCCCTGATAGCTCTTGTAGAGGACTTGGAGCTAGAGTCTGAGCTCTGAGCCTCTTCTCTTCTAGTTCTTTAGTGGCTCTAGGTGCTGCACGTTTCTGTTGAGGAAAACATCTGTGTGGCATAAACAGCAAACCAAAGAGGTTCCTATTTTGTTTGCTCAAAAACTCCTGCCATATAATCACCTCCCAATTTTTAAATTTTAGCCTAATAGTTCCCTTTGAAAATCCTTACCTTGTCCAGACGTTTCTGGCCAGCAGGGGAATGCAGTGCCTGATCAGGCTTTCTGTTTGGAAGATGGGTCTGGTTTCTAGGATGTTTGAAGAAGGAATGGGAGACATAAAGACCAGGACCTAGATCTTTTATTACAGCATTTAAGGGTGGAGATTAAACCAGTGCTTCCCACATAACTCCCACCCTGTCCCAAGTACCTCACTTCCCACTGTGCTATGTGCTCACTCGAGGATCCTGGGAGTGATTCTCCATGGTTGCTTGCCAGTAGGTCTGACACCTGGCAGGGAAAGTGGCAGGCACTTGCTCCCTTGACTTCAGGCTTTGCCCCACCTTATCAACTCCTTGCAGTTCCTAGCCTCACCTCTTCTAGTGCCATTTCTGGCTGTGACTCTGCATCTCCTGCCTGCTGCCAACTTTCAGAATCTCTGGCATCATCAGTCAGGTGTTCCTGAACTGACAGTGGGGTTGGGATAGAGTCCATGGCTGCCCAAATAGTCAAGCGCTCCCTGAGTGAACCCAGGCATTGGAGGCGGTTAGGTCCAGATCTGGAAAGAAATGGTGGAGGGTGGGGTAAAAAAACCGAGGGTGGAGAGTTTTTAAGCACCTCTTCACATTCCCCTTTCCCGCCTTCCCCAAGTCCTTTCTTACCTGCTGCGTGTTCCCCCTTACCTGCCTAAGCGCTGGTACACAAGATCCAAGCCACCACCAGTGCCACACTGGGACACTATGAAGGAGAAGAGGCAGGACCAGCCAGGACCTGGGATCCTCAGATACTGGAGTGGAAGGAGCAGGTAAGCCTCATGAAGTCCGCCCCTCCCCCTCCTGCCCAGGCCACTCCCCAAGCCAGCCTAAGACGGAAGATGGATTCTCCTGGGGCTCATTAGCACACCAGGTGCAGCTGGGCCTGAGTTCCCCCAAGAGACCAGGAGGGCACAGTCCCCTCAACCATAGCCTCCTGGGACCACAACCCCAGTAGCTCCCTCTCATCCCAATTGAGGTTCAGTTCTCGAAACTTTCTCAGACTCGGACCACTCGAAACCTCCGGCCCTGATCACACCTTCCTGGAGCCCACGCTTGTGCTCCCTCACCTCCCCCTGACTCCCACAGCCTGGACCCGCACTTACCCCTCGCTGGCCTTGGAAAGCAATCGCTGGCCGTACCTGCGGGGAGAGCCCAGACGCGTTCTGAGCGCAGATGAAGCAGTGTCCCCAGGATCGACTGTCCGGGAGGGGACCGGGGACACCTGCCTCGAGGGCTTCACTTGGAGAGGTGGGAGGGAGAGCAGAAGCCGCTCCCCCTCCCCAGGTCCCTTCTCTAGGGTCGCTGGCTGAGGCCCGAGGTCCCGACGCTAGGGGCTAGCTAAGGAAGAAGGGGTCAGGGGCCAGCGCACCTGTTGCCGCTGACAGTCCTGCAGCGCCCGCAGCGCTGCTTCGTTGAGCCGGAGCAGTAAGAAGCTGGTCCGGGCAGCCGGGACGAAGCAGAGCCGGAGCTTCCCACTCAGAGGTTCCTGGGGTCCCTCCATGGTTGCCAAGTCGAGCGCGAGCAGATCGAGGGCCACCACCGCCACCTCCTCTGTGCAGGGCTAGGCTGGCACGTCCGTACCCCAGGTCTCCCCCGCCCTCCGCTGGGACCCCGCCCCCCGCCCCCGCCCCCGCTCCCGCTCCCTCCTCCAGTCAGCACCACCCAGAGGTTTCCCAGCTGCGTGGGCGGGGCTTTGCTCTAGTGGGTTGTCCACAGGGAACCTCGAGGTTTCTTCTTAGATTGTTATGGGCAGCACTGGGCTTATTTGGAAGGGCTACCCCGTTCTGGGGAGAAAGTCTGCGGCCAGCATCTGACTTAGCCCTGGCTCAGTTTCCCCAGTTGCAATGAATTCGGAGTTGCTGTCTCCAAGTGAAAGCTGAACCTGCAAGCCCGCCAGGGTTGCAGACTCTGAGGGACGGAGGAGGGAGCCTGGTTGGTAGGCGGGCTCATTCATTTGTGCTTCTGAGGCCATGAGACCCAGGGACCCGAGGAGCGAGAGGATGGCAGATCCTAAGGGAGATCCGATGCAGCGCTTTTTCTTCTCCCGCCCACGGTGGTGCAGTGGATCCGCGCTAGGCTTCTGACCAGGGCTGAAGAAGCTGCATCGAAAGCCTGGCGGGTGCAGTGGCAGCAGAGAACGCTGGCTCTAGCTACAGGGAGCGTCCCCTATCGGTGGGTGGGGATGTGGGGTGTGGGCAACAGCAACAGTTACATGGCAGAAGAGAGCCAGAACTCAGTCCCAGGTGTCACCTCCTGGCTTAAATGTTTATACGTGAAAGTAGCAGAAAAAAAGCAGCTGGCTTACTTCTTCAGGAGATGCCTTGAAGTTGCTAGGCAACCCGGAATGCAGATCCTGGTGCAGTGAGACCTCAGGACCAATCGCAGGCTGGCCGTTGGTGTCTTCACTTTCTTTATTCTGTTGTTTTCCAAGATCTCTGATTTCCTTTTTCCTATCCAGGATCTCTCTGTTAAATCCGTGGACCTGCATAATCTGTAAAGACCTTAATGCCCTCCACCCCAAATCAAGTCACCTATACATTAGTCAAAACTAATAAAAAAAAGTACATTCAAAATATGTATTGGAGCCAGGTGCTGGTGGTTCACTCCTGTAATTCTTGCTACTTAGGAGACAGAGATCAGGAGAATCAAGGTTCTAAGCCAGCCCAGAAAAATAGTTCGTGAGATCCAATCTCTAACCCCAACACTTTGGGGGGCTGAAGCAGGAGGATCTTATCAGAACAGACTAGGCTCTACACAGTGAAAACCCGTTTCAAAACAACAACAAAAAGCATGCATTGTATGTAAATCTTAGCTCTCAGTAAAGCTGACTTTTAAAGTCCTTGCAAGTGCAAGGACCTGAGTTTGAACCTTAGTACTGCCAAAAGACAAAATAAAGTCTCTACAATAGATTGCCCACCCCAATTACAAAAATGTTTTCTTGGGTAGGGAGTAGTAGAGTATCTACCTCACAAGTGCAAGGCTCTGAGTTCAAACCCCAGTACCACCAAAAGTAAATAAATAAACAAACACTTACCTGACTTATCTGACTTTTAGACCTTTCTGTTTCTCTGGGGCACAATTTGCTAATTTGATAAACAATTGTGGTAATGAGTAAAATCAGTCTCCCAGGCTTTCTTTTTTTCTCAGATGACATCTGACTTTTTGTAGGATTTACCTATATTTAAACTCAAAGGAGAGACTAGAATGGTGAAAATTTCTTTTTCTTTTTCAGCACTTGGGTTTGAACTCAGGGCCTCAGGCTTGCTAGGCAGGCACTCCTATGCTTGAGACACTCCACCAGCCTGAAAATTTCTGAAGAAGCTAGGGATGGTGGTATGTACTGGGAGGATGGCTTGAGTCCAGGAGATCAAGACAAGCCTGGGAAACAAACTGAGTAAAAAATAAATCCATAAATAATTCAGGAGAGGGCTGGTGGAGTGGCTCTAGTAGTAGATCACCCGCCTAGCAAGCGTGAGGCCATGAGTTCAAGCCCCAGTACCAAAACATCAAAAAATATTACCAAAGTATAAGGTGTAAAAATAAGAAACTTCAAATTTAACAATATAGGCAGGCTAAAAACAAAAGGACTCCAGTACTACAATAACAAAACCAACCAAACAACAACAAAATAATTGAACCATATAGCCCACATATTACTAGACTAAAGAAGAAAATTATATAATTATATCAACTGATGCAAAGAAGTTTGTATTTTAAAAGATAAAATTAAAAATAAATAATTCAGGAGAGGAAGAAGGGGACACTGCTGTAAGAGCAGGCAACTGAAGACATTTGGAGAAAGGAGGTAGGGTCCTAATATTTATTGGGTATCCATTGGGTGTCAGGATTTTTTTTCATAGTATGTAGGTTTGAACTCAGGGCCTTTGTCTATGTTTTTTTATGTGTGGGATACTGGCTTTGCCTATTTTTTTTGCAGTACAGGGACTTGAACTCAGGACCTACACCTTGAGTCACTCCACTAGCCCTTTTTTATGATGATTTTTTTCAAGATAGAGTCTCTTGAACTATTTGCCTGGGATGGCTTCGAACTTCGATCCTCCTGATGTCTGCCTCCTGAGTAGCTAGGATTACAGACATGAGCCACCAGTTCCCGGTCCTATTATTTAATCCCTACAATACTGTAACCTTTTAGAGTAGATATTACCCCATACATTTCATTCATTCATTTAACAGATATTTATTGAGCACTTACTCTACCAGACAATATACTAGACACTTGGGATACATCAATGAACATAATATGCTTTTAAATAGGGTCTCATTATCATCTTTCTCCTCAGAGGCCTCCCCAGTGCTAAGATTATAGGTGTGAACCGCCATGTCCATTTTATAACAGATTCTTGCTTTGGGAAAGCTTGCATTCTAGAGGGGAAGGAAACACTAGAAATACACATGAGAAATAAACATAAGAAAATTATAGTGTATGTTCTAAAGTGATAAGTGCCACAGTGGGGAAAAGGAAAAAATGTACAAGATAAAGAGGGCTTGGGAGTGGAGGAGGAAAGGAATGCCTATGTATTAAATAAAGTAGTCAGAGGAAGCCATCTGGAAAAGATGAAATTTGAACACTGCCCTAAAGGAGGTGAGGGGATTGGCTAAGGTGTACTGCTGGAGGAAATGTTTTCCAGACACTGGGAACAGGCAGTACAAAGTTTGTAAGTCAGAAAGTGTGCCTGGAGTATTTGAAGAAAAATTGAGACCAGTTTAACGGGAGAAAAGTAAGGAAAGACAACAGTTGTAAGAGATTAAAGTCAGGACAAAAAAGAGAAGGGTGGACCAGATCAGCCACAGCCCTAGCTTTTGATTTGAGTGAAATGGAGTCATTAAAGGGTTTTGAGCAGAGTATAACATGAAGTCATTTCTATTTTAAAACAGGTCACTCTGCTCGCATTGTTGAAGATAGACTGTAAGGGGACAAGGATAAAAGCAGCATGACCTATTAAGAGACTATTTTGATAATCTAAACTAGAGGTGATGGCATCTTGGACCAGATGGGAAGAGGGTGTTGGGTTCTGGATATACTGGTAGAGCCAATAGGGTTTTCTAGGTAGGTGCTTTACCACTTGAGTCATGACCCCAGCCCCAATAGGGTTTTCTGCTGAGTTGAATGTAGTGTGTGAGAGAGAAATGACTATAGAATCTTTGGCCAAAACAACTAAAAACATAAAATAGTCGCCAACTGAAGTAGGGAAGACTTTGAGTAGAGCAATATTGGTTGTGAACACGTTGAGTTGTATATTAGAGTCCACAAGGAGATGTGGAGCAGGTAGTTGTATATATAGGTTTAGACATAATGAAAGCTATCTGAGCCAAAGATGTAAAATTGGTAGTATTAAACATATGGACAGAATTTAGCCAGGTGCTGGTGACTCAGGTCACAGGGAAGACAAGCAAAGTCAATAGAGAGGGGTGACCAATGGGAAAGGAGAAAGGCAGAAGAGTATGACGAGTATGATGTACTAAAAGTCAAGTGAAGAAATGTTTCAAAACCAAAGGCGTTGGGTTTGTGTGTGTGTTGTGGGGGTACTGGGGTTTGAACTCAGGGTTTCCTACTTGCTCTACTACTTGAGCTATGTCTCCAGCCCTGTGCCAAATGTTGTCTATAGTTAAACCTTAAAAAAAAAAAGTGAGAACAGTTTCATCCCTGTATGTGGTTCACACCTGTAATCCCAGCACTAAAGAGGTTGAGATAGAAGGATCATGGGAGGCTAAGACACAAGTTCAAGGCTACTCTGGCAACTTAATGAGAGCTTGTCTCAAAAAAAAAAAAAAGGCTGGGCTATAGCTCAGTGGTAGAACACTTGCCTAGAATGCTTGAAGACCTGGGTTCAATCCCTGGTACTGCTGCCTCCCCGCAAAATGACCTTTACAATGAAAAATGTTCGCCAGGTGCTGGTGGCTCAAGCCTGTAATCCTGGCTACTCAGGAGGCAGAGATCAGGAGGAACAGGGTTCGAAGCCAGCCCAGGCAAATAGTTCGTGAGACCCTGTCTTGAAAACATCCATCACAAAAAAAAGGACTTATGGAGTGGGTGAAGGTGTAGGCCCTGAGTTCAAGCCCCAGTACTGCAAAAAAAAAAAAAAAAAAAAAAAGGGGGGAAATCATCCCAATAAAACAATGACATAGGCAATAAACCACTGGCACTGTAGTACTCATGGTGTTCTTGCTAGTAGAAATAATAGGTATTTCCACTTCACAATATAATTGTTGGAAATATATCTAAATATAGTTTGTATTCATCACCACTTTGTAATTACAAATGCTTGTAGACCTTCTGCTAGATGCTTTTATTTAATGCATTGATAAAATGCACTGATAGGGCTGGAGGTATGACTCAAGTAATGCTTAAACACAAGGCCCTAAGTTTAAACCTTAGTAGTACCAAAAAAGAAAGTACTATAGACGGCTTTATATTTTCATAACTGTATTTGAATATAATTGTTTTTCTTCATGAGCTCATGTATTTTTACAATTTTAAAA